CTCAACAGTATTACTGTTAAAAGAGTCAGTCGTAAAATATTTCTTCAAGTAGCATTTTGCAGTTACTTTATTGGAGTTACGGTGTGTTGTTCTAATCTATAGCTATTGTATTATGTGGGAAGTATTAAACTTTAGGAGCATTTATTTTGCCTAAATAAAGCTATGCCACGATTTTTAAAAGCTGATGGCAAACACGCACAATTTTCCCACTTTGAAGTAATGTCATGTAAATTTTTTTTAGCAGTCGTTTAATTTTGCGATCATGAAAGTAATACATGTCGTTTTTTTTATTTAATCATATCTTTGTGTTGCGAGATTTTAAAAAATTTGGGTCGCTTGAGAAAAGGTTTGGGAACCATTGTGATAATTAATACCAACTAGAGCTGCGTGCAGCTTTAACAGGCATCCCGCGTAAAAAAAAACTGAAGACGCGTTTTGCTCACTGGAGCGTGAAAGCGTGGTCAGTCATGCATAAAATTTGCAATTTATGATGGGGGACTTATTATCTGCATGTGATGTAAATTTCAAGTCTCTGAGTAGTGTCGTTCTCGAGAAGAAGATGAAAATCCTATATTGCTCACTGGAGCGTATCGCCGAAGTCACTCATGCGTATCCTTGACATATCTCATCCGGAACATGTCCATCAATCATTGTTATGAATTTCAACCCAATACCATGTATCAATTTTGAGGAATCGCAAAAAAACTGAAAACGCGTTTTGCTCACTGGAGCGTGAAAGCGTGGTCAGTCATGCATAAAATTTGCATTTTTTTGCTAGCTGAGAACTTCTGCACATTTGAGGTGAATTTCAAGTTTGTAGAACCAATTTGAAAAAAAAATAATAAAAATAAATAATAATAAATAAATAATAATAAATAATAATAATAATAAAACACAGGAATACAATAGGTTTCCTGCTGACAAGCAGCGGGAAGCCTAATTACCTTGGGTCTAGTTCAAGTCAATATATAACTAGGAAAACAGCCAGGTGATAGTGAACCACATAACTGATGTTGTTGGGGCAAACATTTCAGACGTCAAAATTTTCTTATATATCTCTGAATATAATGCACCGACAGGAAATGAATCGCAGACTTGATCAGTCAACGTCAGAAAGTTTAGAAGACATGTTCGGCGCTCCAGAAGTAGGCTATGTGCACCAAGATGGCGGACACTGTGACGTAGTATGTGTACCATGTTAGGGTGAGGCCATAATTTTATTTCAATTTTTCCTATTTTAAATATATTACGTGTTCGGGGACTAGCCAAGTGATTCCCGTAGTATTTTACCTAAAATTATGACCTAACCCTAACCGGGTACACATACTACCTACCGGTGTCCGTCATCTTGGTGCACATACTTCTGGAGTACCCAAGTTCGTTATATAATACGTATGCATTACAAATCCAAGGAAGTAATAATTTGCTTTAATCCGATTTGCTTTACATTCTATAATTTTTGGAGCAACTGTTGCAACAGCTCGTTAAATCAACAAAAGTTTTCCCGAGAAAATTCGGGCATTTCATCAGCTTCTGGAATGATTAATGTAAAACGCAGGCTTTAAACGTTCGGTGCTTGATAAGTACAATCAAAGCTATCTTCAACCTCTCCGAATGTTTCGATATCATATTAGGTTAAAACAAGAACACAGTTTTCTTTATTTATTTAATTCAAAAGCTTTTCAAAATAATTCCACGCTATTCAATTTTGCCAATTTTTGTACGATAATCGCGATATTTTATCTCTATCTCATAATTATAATTAGTCTCCTAGATTGTCTCTAAACAGTATAAAAATTGTCTGATTATAACAAGAGAGCTACGCACAAATATATGGACACGTTAGACCAGAGCGAATCAGTCTTTACCGTTACCTTCAAAAAAGTTTTGAATTTCCAGTAGCAAGAATTTTGCAGTATTAAAACGTACAGCCAGTCATGACACTGACTAAAATCCGTGTTCCCGTGGATAAAAAATAATACAGCAAAATTTTAGACGAAATATCAAATTTCATAGAATTCACGCAAAATTTTGAAATAAATAAAAGTAATAGCCTTCTAGTGAAGAAATTAATCTTTAACCACTGAAAATTTCAAAGCAATTGGTCCAGTATTCGAAGAGAAAAGCGATTTTTTAAAAACGTGTCAAAGAACAGGAACAACAACAACATAATATTGAAACGATCGTTATGGCCACTAAACGTGTCCAATGATAAGTTTCGTGAGATATGAGATAGGAACCACTGATTTAGAATGTTAACACGCTTGAGTAACAATTTCTAAATCACCACGAGAGGGAGACTTTGAGACACGACTGTTCTTCAGAGAAAACTCGATCTCACGTTGGTGCCTTTTTGCCATTTGTTTCGCGAAGTTAATATTCGTAAATGATATGAAGATATATTGAAAGATTTTCCTTTTTTATTGTATTATATCATTGTAATTATTAAAATAACATTATTATCGTTGGATACTTATTACTGATGAAACAAACTGGAAATACTGTGAAACTCAATTTAACAAATGGATCATGAATGGAATGTGGACTATAATTTATTTTATTTGTTTATTTATTTTTTACATATTTATTGAAATCACTCAAGTGAACCAATTAAAAAAAAAAAAAAAAAAAAAATATATTGAAAGATTGTATAGCAATGTGTGGCTAGTTTGGTTAAACATTGTAAGAACGTGGAAGGTCAACATTAGTAGAGAGAGAGAGAGAATTTCATAATTGCATACGGTACAATGACATGTAGACCAGGGTGGTCCAAGGTTGTCGGCTCCGCGGGCAACAAAATTATTTTTGCATTGTTTGCGGGCCACAATAGTGCCAAGAATAGGTACCGGTAAACAGTTCAATACAAAACGCTTTTATTGTGCAAACACATACTGGTACCGGTAGTTATCAGACATAGCTATCCCAGGCTAATAGATTCTGCATTCTATTTTTAGTTTTCTATGATGCCTATATCAGTATATTGTAAGCCTGTATTCCAGTATTCCCGACAAAAAAGATAGAAAGCCAGATAATAATTTAGACTGCCAAGCACATCATTCAACTTTGCTAGTTGCCTCAGCTAGCCATAACACTAGTCAATTTAGTGACATTAGTGATGTAACAATATGTCAAAAGATTTCTCTGATTAATTTTATTACGAAACAACGCGAAATGGTGAAATGCGATTTTTTTATCACATGTGGCCTGCGGGCCTGGGTTTGGACCACCCTAAGTGTTTGGTAGATGACTGAATGGTAACGATACGACCATTCACAGTAATCTGAGTCATTAATCAGTTACCACCCAAAACAAGCACACCAACAAATAAATAAATAACACAGGTTCTATTATATTACACTTTAGGGTGAGCGAACACGTACCGGTACGATACTACGGTACCGGTACTTCTTTTATCGATACCTTCCCACCTATAATCTGTACGTTTTAAACCTCCCTTGAGGTTTCGTTTGCTTTTCCGATTCTATATTCAGTTTTATTTATTTTGTTTTTATCAGGCATTTTATTGTCTATCTGTCTATTGCTGATTATGGAGTCGAAATAAACTTATACTTATAAGTGGACAAAAATGCGTGAGAAATATCGTCGCGGTTCGTTAATTTTTTCGGTATTAAATTAGTCGATGAAGTTGATGACCGCAAATAGGTCGGGGCCGCAAAGTGGGTAAGCCACCCTATTTCCTAAAGCAGTAAAGCAAATATTCCATAAATTAACAATTCTATACCAAATATATAATTTTTCTTGTAGACTATATTTATCCACACATTCCTGCATTCAATCTGTTCTAAACCTTCTTCCAGTCTTTTGGTAAAAGAGCACGTGCATTGCGTTATTAACTCAATTCTTAAGTTTTGCTAATTTTCTGTGACTTAGGCCAACGAGGTCTTACAGTACATACGCGTCCAGTCACTGTTTGTATATTATGCCATGCTGTTACATACCGGTATTGAGGCAAATAAACATGCATACAAAACGATAGTGTCTTCTAGAACATAGGTTCTCAAAGTGTTCCGTACGGAGCCCCAGGGCTCCGTGAGAGAAACCCATGGGCTCCGCGAGCTATTCGATTACTTTTCAAAATACTGAATTGGCTAATTTTACTATTAGGATTACGAAAATGAAAGAATACTATTCTGAAATAACATAAAATACGCGATAAACTGCCAACTATACATAAATTGCAGTCGTATTTTTGCGATCTTGGGATTTGTCAAGCTTGATTTTGTTCTTTCGCACTCACGAGCAAGATCGCCGTTTAAAAATTCATGAGGTCTGGGCAAAATACAAAAGATTGGAATTTATTTCACTGCATGCGACGTCGTCGGTAGTTTCAGAATAGAAAAATAGGTGCATCGCGCGCACAATTGACTGTGTTTCGGTTTCGCAGTTACTACGACGAATAACCAAAGAAAACCCAACATAACTCCAAATTTTGTGATTTACAATGTCTATAAAAGCGTTTTTAATCTGACCTGGGTTTGCTGAAACAAAACTTATAGTGTTATCTTCAATTTTAAGTTTTAGTTTTAATATTTTAGAATGCTTCTTTTCAATCAAGAAATTTGAGTTGCGGATTTATCTCTTTATTATTTATTATTTTTAGCATTGCGTCACCGATGACTATAATATGGTAACATGTTTTTCACATTGAACTCAAAATTCCCCCCGAGAACAAAAAAGCAATACTCGTCGTCATTGTGGAACAATACATGTATATGTCGAGGGAAATTTTTGATTTAGGAAAAATAAACACCCCCCCATGCTGATGAAATCGAGTAGTTATTAGCAGCCTTTTAAGTCTTGCAAAAATGTCTGAAGGGAAAAGATCCGACCCTTAATTTATTAATATGTTTGTCAAGTGTCAAATTTACAGCTTTAGTATACATAATTTATCTTTGTCATTTAGATTCATTTATGACTTGTATTAACCTTATTACAAGAGGTTTAGCATTTAATTAAAATAAGCACAATAATTTTAACTTACTCAGGAATATTATTCGGAAAGTAACAATTTTTCACATTTATTTTGGGGCCCCGTGAATAATAGTCAACTTTTTCAAGGGCTCCGCAACACAAAAAGTTTGAGAACCCCTGTTCTAGAAGATTAGAAGGTCCTCCAGTATCACCAAATCACAGTACTTTACAGTTCCCTGATTCCAAGAAGAACTCTCCATATTTAAAGACAATTTACCATATCATTTGAAAGCTCGTAGCAAAAACATTATTTTTATGGGATTTCCTAATATTATTCATTATTACAGTATTTTTTATCTTATGCATGCTCTAATACCAGACGCCCTCGTTTCTGGTGTAAATGAGAGATTTTTTAAGATCTTCATCGATCTAAATATCAGGACATTCTTGAAAATGGAGAACTGTGTCCTATCAAATCAACATTCTTACATTTAATTGACTGAATCATTGTTGCTAATACTTCAAAGGTTATATTTAGTTTCAAAGATCATTTCAAGTTGGTTTACTGTTTTGAGCGATATCCAAACTTGAAAAATGTTACGCGCAGAAATACTGTTGCTGCTGATTGTTTCTGCTCACTATGGTTCATCTTTAAAAGCGGAACCTCAAGTTGATCAATTCTTCCAGAAAAGCAGACACACCAACAACTGGGCTGTTTTAGTCTGTACATCAAGATTTTGGTTTAATTATCGCCATGTTGCAAATGCATTATCTGTTTATAGGAGCGTTAAAAGATTGGGAATTCCGGACAGTCACATTATCTTAATGTTGGCTGACGACATGGCATGCAATGCTAGAAATCCAAGACCAGCAAAGGTATACAACAATCAAAATGAAGCTATTGATGTATATGGATCAGACGTTGAAGTAGACTACCGTGGATATGAGGTGACAGTGGAAAATTTTATCCGAGTTCTCACTGGTCGGCTACCCCCGGACACACCGAGATCTAAGCGATTAAACACAGATGACAGAAGCAATATCCTTATATATATGACAGGTCATGGAGGTGAAGGATTTCTAAAGTTCCAAGATGCAGAGGAAGTTTCGGACGTCGAATTAGGGGATGCATTCGAACAAATGTGGCAAAAACAAAGATATAATGAACTACTCTTTATTATCGATACATGTCAGGCTGTATCGATGTACAGACGAGTTTATTCTCCTAACGTAATTGCAATCGGCAGTAGCCAAATTGGAGAAGATTCTCTTTCTCATCACATTGATCCAGCTATCGGTGTGTACGTTATTGACAGGTTCACATACTACCTGTTAGAATTTTTGGAACGTATCACGCCAAGTAGTAAAAAGAATATAAATCAACTGTTCAAAGTATGCCCGCGAGAACTTTGTATTTCTACACCGGGTTACTGGACTTCGAAGGAATTTAACCGTCCACTTAATAATGTCCTAATCACTGATTTCTTCGGAAGTGTCAGATCAGTGCAAGTTAATGATTTATCGGTACAATTGAAACCGATTAAAATTGATTCAGACAGCGCGAACGAAAAGTCACATCAGATAGAAGATGTCAAATCAATGGAAGTTGAACAATTTCCTTCATTTGACTCCGAACAATCAGAATCGCAGGAAATAAATGATCAACCTCTCATAACCCAATCTACCTGTTTTTCAATCATCTTGACTGTGATTTTCATTTTTCTATTGAAAATGTGATTTCCTACTATTTTTTTATTTTATGCGTGGAGATGTATGTGGGAAATCTTCAGGTTGTCCATGGAATAAATTGCGCTGAACCTGGGTTCTCGCTGTGCGTTCGAAGACAAGTCAACAGTGAGATGTTTGTCGAATGTATCGGGAAGGCGACTGTTGCCTTCAATATCTCTGCCAATGACTGACAGCAGTAAAGGAATTGAATTAGTCTTTTGTTATTAAAATATGGTACTTATCACTGTAAAATGGAATAAATGAATTTTGATATATAGAGGGGAAAAGGTTCTTTTTAATTAGGCTATTCCTTAGTTTCTATGCAGCTTCACAGACTATGCTGTAGTTTAGTATCCTATACTCTTTTGGCATGGATGCTCTGTTTTTAGCTCTTCGCAGTCGACAGATATCTCGTCAGGGCATTATCACCTGCTGCTAACAAAATTTTGGTCTATAATATATTTGCAGAATTGCAAGCATCTTCTGAGGGCTGAACTGACATTTATTTGTTTCTCAAGAATTTCCATAGATATGACGCTTTTCATTGTATCTAACATTTAACTTGTGCTATAATTTACTGGATTTTGATCATGTCCGATTGTAATTATTTATGATGTTTATTTTGTGGTAATTTGGCTAGTAATGAAAACTTTTTATTTAAGAAAATGTTTATTGATATTTGTGACTTTTGTGTACTGGTATGCTGATGGATAGATTCCAATAGTTTCAGTATTTAACTAATTGTGATTTATGCATTTTTTTAGCAAAGTAGTTAAATAATAGTTACACCTTTCTGGCATTGAGGCACTCTATACTAGGTGAAATGGAAAACAAAGCAAAAATCAAGGATTTAATTTCAAAAAAGGATAATATTGAAGAAGAAATCAAACAAATGTATGATGTTTTGGCTTCTCAGGGAAATGTAGGAATGACTGAGCCCTTGGTAGACTCGGAAGGCTTTCCCAGAAATGACATTGATGTGTATCAAGTACGTATAAGTCGAAATAAAATTTCATGCTTGCAAAATGACCACAAAAACTTAATGAAACAAATTGAAGAAGAATTATATAGCTTGCACTCTAAAAACAAACCAGAGGCGGCAGACTCATCATCTGATGTACCAATGGTTGATGTAACGATAACAAATACATCTTCAGCCTTTGCTTCTATTAATCTCGTTTCCAGTGGTTCTCCTGCTGATGTCGCTGGACTCAGAGTAGGTGATGAATTAATTCAATTTGGATCAGTAAATGAAACAAATTTTCAAAATCTACAATCAATTGCAACAGTGGTTCAACACAGCGAAGGAAAAAATGTTGAAGTGAAAATTAAGCGGGAGGGAAATATACAAAGACTTATGCTCACACCAAAGAAATGGAGCGGGAGAGGTTTATTGGGATGTAACATTGTTCCTATTTAAAGCTGACTCTTTGTAGTCTGCCCAAACCTTTGTTGAAAGGTTTGACAAATAAAAATGTTGCAGATTGTAAAAGAAGTTTAAAGTAACATTCCTAACACTGTACTGGTGTTCATGAAGTCCAGTGGTAAATTAGGTAAAAAAAAATTGATTTGTTTTGTTCCACCAATTATTAATGGTGTTCAATTCATGTAAGAGTGTATTGGATGAGGTAAATATCAAACGAACACTGGTTAAAATGAAATAAACCTGGTTATTACCGGTAAGTAAATTATATTGAGAACTGGCTTCCTAAAAAATATGTTGATTGTATCAAAACTTCATGAACACCCCGATATGGATGAATTTTAAAGATAAAAATGTTCTACCTAATGCTCAATCATCAATCTGTAGCTTGCATTGTGTGATCTGATAACCAGGTGATTATGGCAAAACCACGAAATTGTGAACACTTTTCCCCACTTCATCTACTAATAATTGAAATCTTGTCATGAGAGCTTAAAAGGTAGAGACTTTGTTATAATGCCATCCTGCTTTTTTTGCTAATCTGGTTTATTAGTCTTGAATTGATTATTTATTAGGCTTGGTAATTGGAAATATTGGATTGCAAACTGTTTTTTATGGCTAAGATTTGAAATGATTAATTGAGTGATTATTAAGATCTTAATAATATGGCAATTGACGACAACAGTTGTGAAGATTTGTTAAGCTCCGATGAAAATATTCACCGTAATAATTGATTAAATATGTACCGTCATGGGATCATCATTTCTGATTTCAATCATCATTTGGGAAATTGTGTTCCTGTGCAATGTATCAATTCATATTTCTACATTATTAGCAAGTAAATGCTGATTCGTAAAATGGGGTGGGAGTTGAAATAATCGAACTTCTTCAAAGGCTGCTTTCAATATTTGTTTTTTTCCTTTGATATTTTTGTTTTATTGTTCATTTCATATTGTTTTCTTCTTGTTAGGTTTTATACATATTATGTAATACCAAGCATTTATTTCTCCTTGCATAATGATCAGGGGCAAGAAACCTACAGTGGATTCTTATACCTCATATTACTGGCTATTGTAACGCTTGAGTTTATGAGTTGTTCAGAATGATTTCCACCGCTAAATTAACCTGGGATTAGTTTGTGTTTATATCTATTTTTATTTTGTTTTGTTGGCTTATTCTTCCAGTCAGTTGAATTAACCTTATGAATATGACTAAAATTTTTGTCTCACTGTGGTTTAGTACCGGTACTCTTTTAACATTATGAGCCGGACATGTTGTGTTACTTGTGTCTGTCCATATTATTGCCAATCGTCATTCATCAAAATACAATCTGAACTTGAATTGATATGCCAGCTGGAACATTTTTGACGTTTTTTCCAAGACTTTATTTTTAAATTAATTTTCTGACATTAATACAAACTGATACTTCCTAGCTAGTTGGAGTTCACGTAATGGCAACACGTAAAAGTTACACTTTGGAATACAAAATTGAGGTTATCACGTATGCTAAAAAACATGGTAACCGCGCAGCAGAACGTAAATTTAATATTGATGAATCCATGGCAAGGTTATGGAGAAAAAAAGAAGACTTGTTTCGTGCGTCAGATAAGTCTCGGAGATCATTTAGAGGAAGCCCTGGCAGATATCCTCTTTTAGAAGCAAAGGTAGAAACTTCACTTTTTGTTTAGGTTGACATTTCAGGTCTGTATTGGAACTGTAAATGATTGTTTGTTTGCTGACACAATTCATTTTATTTCTTTAATGCATAGAACTGTTAAATTGATATAAGATCGTTATCGACGATATTACTGGTAATTTTTTTCTAAAATGGAATATTGTTTGCTGTTGTAGTAATTTTTTACAATTGGTAATTTTATTTTGAATATTCCACTTGAAAACAACCCACTGACATCAAGAACATAATATATCATGCTGTAGCAAATTGAACTGACCAATTTTTAAAATTAGGTTTGAAGAAAATACTTGTTAATGTTAATCGAGTCATCAGTTAATTTTTATTTCTAAATACCCTGCCACACTAGTACCGTTAAGCTGTGTTTGTCTGATTTAAACTGTTGGGACTTTTTCAAATTAAGCTTTGTGTGCTCCATTATTATCTGTACTATATCTATGCATTACTGTAAGTCCTAGATTTTTCAAAGGTTGCGGAATGGACGTTAAGTCAGAAAGCACTCAGAGGAACCATTACCGGAAAGGAGGTTAAAGAAAAAGCTGTTCAAATTTCTAAAGAACTCGGCATAGAAGATTTTAGAGGTACAACAAACTGGTATTACCGATTTTTAAGGCGGCAAAAGATAAATACTGATAGACTGAACTGGAATACTAAAGTTTTGAAATGGAAACCTAGAAATGTTAAGAAAGAGCCCACAACACCCAATAGCAAGATAGCGAATACAACTCCATCATCTAGAGATTACACTTTACCGAGAATAACATCGATTCAATCCTGCAGACCAAAAAATGTCTCTACTCAAACAAGAATTGCAGTAACCCCAACAAATAGCTCAAAAAAACAACAGTCTTCCTTGAATGGAAGTGCTCTAAATAATCAACTAGAATCTCTCGGCTACTCAGCATCGTCGCTCTCCCTCTCTGGAAGCAATGGAACATCAATAAGAAGTACTGAGAACATTGAAACAATATTTCCTCTCCAATCGCATACGAACTCAGATCATGCAAATGTAGACACTGTTTCTGATCCACAACAAACATCACTGTCTGCAGAACTGGAGAACAACATCAATATCTCAGACATTAGTATCTTCAGCTCTCCTGACAGGTTATTTTTCTCGTCAATATGTATGGATATGGAAAGATTGCCTTTTAAAGAAAAACTTAGATTTAAACAAAGTGTTTTGAGACTACTGCATGAGAGATTACTCAAATGTGAAGAGTCATGATGGCATATACGCCAGTTTATTTTAGACCATGGATCGACAGAAAGTTTTAATCTTCATAGATAATATGCAGGTACCCATTTTTTCTTTTTTGTTGCTTGCATTTTATCGCTGGGTCGTTTCATACATTCTTTTTACTTTTCGTTAACTACATCTTTGGATTACAATCCAAATTATTATATGTTATCTTAAGTATTTTCCGCCTAATGTCCTGCCGCTGATAAAGCCGTCGTTCGATGTGTGTTTTTAGATGCTGCGCTTCAAAGAGACACCACTGGTCACTAATTTGAGTAACGTCGATGACCGTAAAGTTTTGCCAATTCGACAGACTGGGTGAAACTACCCAGACAAAAAAATGCCACCGATTAACGGATGTACAGCGTGTTCTTATCACTTTTAATTCACGCTTGAGCTAGGGAACTGTTTAAGACTCCGGCTATCCTTGTAAACTCTATATTTTTGTTGTACTGGGAATGCTTCTACCGAAACAAGCGTGGACAGTTTTCTAACAAACTTTGTGCCAAATCAAATTAGACACTTATGACTGATTCATGTGATAATTAATAGCCAGTTGTAAAAATACAAATTTTTTCCTTTTACATTTACTATAGTAATATCTAATACTTGGCGATAAAACTTGACCTTGAAAGTGTGTGTTATATACAGAGAACTACGGTAATTTAGATGAGAAAGTGGGATGTTTTGCATGTTATTATCTTTGCATTATTTTCTGTATAGAATTGTTTTGATTTGGCTTCCATTATTTGGATTTTCTTTGCCAATCTGCACATTTTAGAGAGTTAGTCTGTGATCTATATAGTTTGTGGTGAGGTGCTTCTTGAGTGTTGTTATATATATCAGGAGAACATAGTATTTTTAAACATTCTATAAGCTTTATATGATTTTATGAAATTATCACATACTATGACTCAAACTGTAATGAACTTTAATTAATTAGGCCGGATTTTTAAACATCTGATTGGACTGTAGAATATATTGAATGTTTTTAAAAATTCGGTGTTTTTTTAATGCTTATCAGCATACTAATTACTTTAATAAATTGTTATATAACAATACAGATTAACTAAAATTAGGTATATCAGTAAAATTACTAATTCAATGCTGATGATGCTTTCAAGGATATTTGTATTGCATCTAATTTAACAAAATACATAACTTTAACAAATACATAAATTTTTGACTCTAACTTTCTTTAATCTATTCTTCACTGGTTAATGTTAACGTTGTTTGTAAATCTTTACCTGCTAACCACTGCAAACCTTATTGAAACTTAGCTATAAAAAACCATTTATTTAGCTTTTTTATTCGTTACTTTTTACTTATATCCAATCATGTTTTAAAACTAGAAAAATCAGAAAATTCTTTCTTTTTGAATGTCAATTACAGTAATTATTGAATAGAAGTCACTCCTGGACCCTGGACTAGCGTATACCTTATAAGCTGAATTTAACTATCTTAATTTTACAATCGGAGTACAGCTGCCATAAGCGTAAGGCTTAATCCAACATTAATATGGTTATATGTATAATTAAGCTGTGACTGTGAGAGATAATGAAATTGAGTAAATATAGTGGGGTAGTAAGCAAATTTTGAATACTACAACATTGAAACACCAAAAGAGGAAGCTATGTAACCTTTACTATATAGACTCGCCAAAGTGGCAAACTTTGTCCAATTGCTGAACTCCTATGATGTTTTGTTTTTCAATGAATAGTCAATGAATAATGTTTGAAGGTATCTGGAATTCCATGGCTGTAGTGTAGACCATAATTTGAATGTTTTATATGGAATGTTACGAAACATATGGGATGTATGAAATTTTGATTTTTTAATTCTACAATGTCGTGATACATATATATATATATATACAAGTTGATGATACAAAATCATAGTTTGTATAATTCCTGTATTGTTGCTTTAGAATCTAAAATTTAAAACGGTATTCAAATTTTTAAATGATGCCTAATTACTTATTACAGGGGGATTAATGTTTATATGATATCTATTTATTATTTTGTTTTATTGGCTTGTTCTCTCCAGGGCTGGAGAGCTAGAGTCCGAGCTACCAGACATTTTAGTGGCTCCAGCTCCTAACCATCTCATTTTTTCACATATATAACTTTTAGATACCTGATCCAAACGATAAAATCTACCCTTTTCAGCTTATAATTCCTTTTTCTAAATTTCAGTTCCTAATATTAATTCAAAAGTTTAAAGTTATATTTAATGCGGACCAGTGTTAACTCTAAGCGAATTATGAGTGCGAAAGTGCTTCGCAGTCGAAAAAAAAGTGCGAAAGTGCTTTTGCCGATTTCAACAAGTTAGGTGCCCTAGCTTTTGTTATAACTCATTTAAAACAGCATAGATACTCGAAAAAGCGCTCCTTCTGGTAATATTATGAAATAAAGAGAGCCTTTCCAATAACGGAGTTTCGATTAAATCCTTGTTTAAAACATGTGAATTAATCCGTAACGAAATGTCACTTGCTAACACCCGTCGTATACAAAACTTTCATGCAATCAATCACCCGTGTTGGTTGCTATCTCGCGTGAACAGCAAAGGCTTTCACATTTGAGTTACGCCTTCCATCTAGCAGACAACAATTGATACATGAAAGCTGGAATCCATATTAGTTATGTAGTGGATCATTTGTACAAAGCCCCTGCAAAATAACATCACGACGATGATTCTCGAAAAAAAAACATGAAATAAAAAATAAACGAATAATATGATACTGGTTCCCAAACAATTTGGAGTGTGTCACGAAATATCAATCCATTTGACAAATAATTTTTATTCGACCTCATGAAACGTTGAATGTCGAAAGAGAAGTACAGACATTCAGTCGCGATATATAATCGTTCATGTGCACAAATATCACATACAGCATCGGCTATCCGTGCATGGAATGTAAAACTCTTGTGTATGTGTTTCAATAAAACCGAATTCGTTTTTCCGTGCATTATTACTGGTATTTTTGATAGTAATTACGTCCAGAGTTTGTAAAGTTTAGAAACCTCTTGTATATATATAATTATGTACCAATATTTTTGATTGGTAGATTGGAAGACAACATGTAACGGCTTTTCGGCGACATGGTATTTGTTGAATCCAGAATACAGAGTTCAACCCTATTTTTATTGTTATCCAAATGTGAGAATTCTCCCATCATATTTATGGATTACAATTTTGAAAAAGCAAAATTGTGAATGTACCCTTTGTATTTAATTGAAAAAACATTCCAGCAAATATATTGTGTAATGCAAAATTGGGTTACAATATTTAATTTGAATACGTTTTTTGCAATCTTGCAAATTTGCCATCATTGTTAGAAAATCCCAATATCTGCAATAAAATTCCCAGAAAGGACATTTCAATTTAGTACAGTAAAATGCATTTAAATCATATATTAAAAATACATCCCTCGAAATCTTCGCAGTTCGGCTTCAGAAACAGTCTACGTGACTACACTTGTGGAAAAATCCAATTTTTTGAGGAATAATGATTCTTCTGTTGCGCAAAGTGATTAATTCATGACCGATACTGGCCTATTTGAAATTTTTTGCTTCTTTAAATTTGAACGTGTTCAATTTAACCTGCGGTTGCGTAGACAAAGTAAAATCATTAGTCATCACTACTCTAAAATACCATAGCAATTTGCGGACATAAAAATGTGTTGTAAAGTGCACGATTAGATCTTGTTTTGATTCATATTTTTGTGAATTTGACAAATCTGATTAGTTTTTGCAACACCGACTTCGCATTATCGCATTGCTGCCCCTCGTGTTATTTTTAGGATATCACCTTTAGAAAAAGTTTGATGTATATATTTAAAAAAATTTGAATGAATATATTCCGTTTCCATTAATTATCTCATATATCATAATCTGGAGAAAAGTCTAATCAGTTTCCGCCATAGCTTTAGAATGGATAAAAAGGTAGGTCGCGAGCATGATTGAGCGTCTTTAAATTTAGTTCCCATAAATAAAAACGATATGATTCCCAAAGCCAACCAGAGAAATAATATGTGCTGCAGGCACACAAAATTGTGAGATTTACAATGCCTGAAAGGGCGTTTTCGATCTGTTGCAGGCATCCTAAAACGAAGATTATTTTGTTTTCCGTTTCATTTTAGTGTTTTACAATGTGGATAATTTGGCTTGCAAATTCCCCGCTTTCTTTATCTTCAACATCTCATCGCCGATGATTATATAATAACTCTCAAAGAATTCACAGTTATGTGCAAGAACAAAAAAAATGATCATAAGACAGACCTTAAGTTGATTAAAACCGAAATAACACGCTACACTTGGAAAACAATCGACAAACGTAAAAGCATGCGTTATTTGAAGCTTCAACCCTGAATCCCATGGCTATGGAGTCGAAGCTGGAGCCACAATTTAAATATACTGTGAAGCTGAAGTCGCTGTGATTTTAAGCCAGCTCCCCAGCCCTGGTTCTCTCAACCAGTTGAATTAAAACCGTAATTATGACTAAAATTTCTGCCTCACTGTGGCTTAGCACTAATTTGACATTATGAGTCTGTCCATATTATCGTCAATCCATTAAAATTTAATCTGAGCATAAATTGATAGGCTGGAACCTTTTTGAGAATTTTTCATGACTTCATATTTGAATTAATTTTCTGGCAGCAATACAATCTGATACTTACCAACTAATTGGAGTTCTCGTAATGGCAACACGTAAAAGATACACTGTGGAATTCAAAATTGAGGTTATCAATTATGCTAAAAAACATGGCAATCTACCGGCAGGACGTAAATTTAATATTGATGAGTCCATGGCAAGGTCATGGAGAAAGAAAGAAAATTTATTGCGTTCTTCAGACAAGTCTCGGAGATCAATTAGAGGACTGTCCAGCAAATATCCTCTTTTAGATAAAAAGGTAGAAATTTCACTTATTGTTCATTTTAATAACATTTTAGGTATTGGAAACTGTAAATTAGTATTTGTTTTTATGCTAATATAATTCATCTCTTTCTCCAATGCAGTGGTCGGCAAACTTTATGTACTCACGGTCCGCATAAACACATTTTCGGTAGCGTGCGGGCCGAACAATCGTCACATTGCCTGGGAACAATCGTCACATTAAACTTAAAATTATTGCGCACGTTCTATTGCTGTGTTATAATGAGACGTTTATGTTCCGTTCAAAATTAACATATTTCAAAAGTACAACCAACATCGAGCAAACGATATACAACTCAACACGGACGCTGCAGAAAAGAGCCGTAGAACTGCATTCGTTACCGCATAAATTCATGTGGAGGACGGAGGTATTGATAAATTTATAAATATTTTTTGTGTCATGCATTGAAGGCCGGGACGTTCGCGGGCCGCAGTTTGCCGACCCCTGCTCTAATGCATGCAACTGTCAAAGCGATATAAGATCGGTTTTAGATATTTTCAAAATGGAATACCCATTCAAATTGATTGCTGTTTTAGTAATTTTTATTTTAAATATTCCACTTCGAAACATCACACTGACATCAAGAACATAATATATCATAGTGTAGTAAATAAACTGACCATTTCTTAAAATTAGGCTTGAAGCTTGGTAAGCTAAGTTGGTCTGATTTATCCTGTTAGACTGATGATTGAGTTCTGTGCACTCCATTATTATCTGTAAATAGCCCCAGCATTTCTTATGTTCAATATTTTTCAAAGGTTGTGGAATGGTTGTTAAGTCAGAGAGCAATCAGAGGAACAGTTACCATCAAGGAAGTTAGAAAAAAAGCTGTTCAAATTTCTAAAGAACTCGGCATTGAAGGTTTTACAGGGACATCAACCTGGTATTACCGATTTTTAAGGCGGGAAAAGATCAATACTGATAAATTGAACAGGAATACCAAAGTTTTTAAATGGAAACCTAGAAATGTTAAAAAGGAGCCTACAACCTCCAATAGCAAGATAGTGGATACAACACCTTCCTCTAGTGATTCCACCTCAACGAGAATATCATCGATTCAATCCCGCAGACCGAAAAATGTCTCTACTCAAGCAAGAATTGCAGTAACCCCAACAAATAGCTCAAAACAACAACAACAACAGTCTTCTATAAATGAAAGGGCTCTGAATATTCAACTAGAATCTTTCGGCTGCTCAGAATCTCCGCTTCCTTTGGGAAGCGATGGAACATCCGTTGGAAATGGGCCCGAGAACATTGAAACAATATCTCCCGGTCAATCGCAGACTTATTCAGGTCCGGCTGATGAAGAGATTGCGGTTTCTGATCAACAGCGAACATCGCTGTCTCCAGGACTCGAGAACAACATCAATATCTCAGACTTCAGTATTTTTAGCTCTCCAGACAGGTTATTTTTCTCATCAATATGCATGGATATGGAAAGATTACCTTTTAAAGAAAAACTCAGATTTAAACGAAGTGTTTTGAGACTACTGCATGAGAGATTGCTCAAATGTGAAGAGTCATGATGGCAGGTTTTATTTCCGTATTTCTTCTTGCATAACGTGCGGGTGTATTTTGCAATTTCAGACAGTCTGTATCTCTGAATTTTGACGGTATATCTTCTATAATACAAAGATGTATTTTAATTTTAGCACATGGATTGCCAGAAATTTTCAATCTCCTTAGATAATATGCACAGTGGGTTTGCGGTTTCTCCTTAGTGTTGCGGATTTTTTTTTTGTGCCGAAGCGTTTCAGACATTCTGTCTGCTTTTTGTTAACTATACCTCTAAATTAATATGTTATCTTACCGTAAGTATTTGTCGCCTAACGGTCTGCCAATCGTGACTTTCTGTTATTTGAAATAAAACTTTCATGCTGTTTTTTTTCTGATTCTTTTGAAAGCTGGTGTTCAAAGGGTGTTTCCAGACACTGTATTTCAAAGAGACACCACTGGTCACTAATTTGAGTGACATATATGACCCTCAAGTTTTGCCAATTCGACAGAACGTGAGAAACGACCCAGACCAGACAATGACAGCAGTTAACAAATGTACAGCCTGTTCTCATCATTTATGACCTTCTATCCTTATAAACACTAAATTTTTGTTGGACTGGGTATGGTTCTACTGAAACAAGCGTGATCTGATTGACTGATATATGTGAGAATTATTAGCCAGTTAGGCATAAAATATTGATTAATATTTTTTTGATATCTTCTATTTCAATGCACGATATACTTTCGCTTATTCCAAATTTGACCGTGAAAGTGCTTGTTATACATCGAGAATTTAGATGAGACGGTTTGATGTTTTGCATGTTGTTATCATTGCATTATTTTCTGTATAGAATTGTTTTAACTTTGCTGCCAATGATTTGGATTTTATTTGCTAATCTGCACACAGAGAGCTATGCTCTATATATTTTTTGATTAGGTGCTTCTAGAGCTGACATGGGCAAACACTTGCCCACGGGCCAAATCCGGCCCGCTTGGTACTTCAATCTGGCCCGCAAGATGCTGCCACAACCAAAATAAATCCAAATTTTAATGTTTAGATAAAAAAAAAAATAGCTCAAGGAATTTGTTGAGATTGAGATTAAATTTAGTTTTAGCACGAGGCTTATTACTTTCCACTTTGCTTTTGTAAGACTGTAAATATTGTTCATAAAATGTAACTTTTTATGTCACACTCACTTGGCCGGCCCGCCAGTCCAGACAGGTAAAATTTGTGGCCCCTGGCCCTAAAACCTTGCCCACCCCTGTTCTAGAGGGTTTATCGGGAGAATATAGAATTTTCAAATATTCTATAAAGTAGCCTATAATATAATTATATGATATCATGAACATATGATACAAATTGCAGTAAACTTTAATTATTTAGGCCTGATTTTAATATCTGGTTAGACTGTAAAGGAAACTGAAACTAAATGTTTTCTAATGCTTTTTCATCGTATATCAGCGTACGAACTGCATTGATAAATTGTAATATAGCAATACATATGGATTAAAATTAGATATATCAGTAAAATAGTCAATTCGTTGCTGATAATTTTGACATCTCCAAGACTCCAAATAAGTTTGTATCTAATTTAACAACTAATTTGCCCATTTTTTAATCTAATTTTCCTTGCTTCATACCCGCACTGGTTAATGTAAATATTGTTTGTATTTCTTTCCCTGCTAATCACTGCTTTTTTGTTTCTTTTCACTTTCATCCAATCGCGTTTTAAATCTGGAGAAATCAGAAAAATCTTTTTTTTTGAGAATATCAATTATGGTAATTATTTAATGAAAAGTGCAAATAGAAGTTATTTTCTGGTCAGAGCTGCATTTTGCTAATTTAATTTTGCAATCTGAGGCGATCGAGAAAACATTGCTTCTGCTGAATGGCAGCAATGTCTAATTGCTAAATTCATATGATGTTTTGTTCTGTCTCATTCCTGATTTCTGTACATTATCTTCGTTGTTTACTATTGTGATTTTTCGCCGTCTTTTTGCACCTACCGAACCTTGTGCACCTGGTATGATAAATTTTTTAACTGGCCATTCTTTTTTGATTATCATTCTCAGCTAATGTAGTTCTATGGTGTTGCTAGTAAAATTATAAAATGTCAGTGGAACCACCAAAGAGAAAGTTTTCGAATTGGTCGAAAAGTGCTATTTCGCAGTCCCTGAAAAAAAGTGCGAAAGTGCTTCACTTTTCGCAAAAAAGTGCGCTAATAGTGAACACTGATGCAATGATATATCACAAATTTGATTCCTATTTCCGCTATGCCGAATTTTTTTGAATGAAATGTTGGATAATATTTAATTTGAATACATTTTTTGCAATCTTGCAAATTTCTCATCACGTTAGAAAATCCCAATAACTGCAAAAAATTCCAGAAAGTAAATTTTAATTTAGTACAATAAAAATGCATATAAATCATAATTAGTAGATGAAAACACATCTCTCGAAATCTTCGCGGTACGGCCTCAGAAACAGCCTACGGGACTACGCCACTTATGGAAAAATCCAATTTTTTGAGGAATAATGATTCTTCTGTTGCGCAAAGTGAATAATCATGACTGATACTGGCCTTTTTGAAATTTTTTGCTTCTTAAGTTTGAATGCGTTCAGTTTAACCTGCGGTTGCGTAGACAAAATAAAATCATTAGTCATCACTACTCTGAAATATCATAGCAATTTGCGGACATAAAAATGTGTTGTAAAGTGCCCGATTAGATCTTGTTTTGATTCATATTTTTGTGAATTTCACAAATCTGATTAGTTTTTGCAACACCGACTTCGCACTATCGCATTTCTGCCACTCATGTTGTTTTTAGGATATCACCCTTAGAAAAAGTTCGATAAATATATTTTAACAAAAATTGAATGAATATACTTTCCATTAATTATCTCATATAATCTGGGGAAAAGTCTAATCAGATCCTGTCATAGCTTTAGAATGGATAAAAAGGTAGATCGCGAGCATGATTAAGCGTCATTAAATTTATTTCCCATAAATAAAACTGATATGATTCCCTAAGCTAACCAGGAAATATTATGTGCTGCAGGCACACAAAATTGTGAGATTTACAATGTCTGAATGGGCGTTTTCGATCTGTTGCGGGCATCCTAAAACGAAGATTATAGTGCTTTCCGTTTCATTTAAGTGTTTTACATTGTGAAAAATTTGGCTTGCGAATTCCGCCCTTTTATTTATCTTTAACACCTCATCGCCGATGATTATAAAATAAATCTCAAAGGATTTGCAGTTATGTGCAAGAACAAAAAAGGAAAGGATCATAAGACAGTCTTAAAATTGTTTAAAACCTAAATAACACGCTACCCTTGGAAAACAATCGATAAAATGTGAAAGCATGCGTTATTTGCAGCGCCGACCCTGAACCCCATGGCGATGGAATCTGAGCTGGAACCACAATTTAAATATACTTTGACGCTGAAGCTGGAGTCGCTGTGACTTCAAACCAGCTCCCCATCCCTGGTTCTCTCAATCAGTTGAATTAAAACCGTGATTATGAGTTATGACTAAAATTTCTGTCTCACTGTGGCTTAGCACTCTTTAACCATTATGAGTTTGTCCATATTATCGTTACTAATTCATTAAACATTAAAAGCTGGAACTATTTTGAGAATTTTCCTTGACTTCATATATTTAAATTAATTTTCTGACAGTAATACAATCTGATACTTACCAACTAATTGGAGTCCTCATAATGGCAACACGTAAAAGTTACACTGCGGAATTCAAAATTGAGGTTATCAATTATGCTAAAAAACATAGCAATCTGGCGGCGGGACGTAAATTTAACATTGATGAATCCATGGCAAGGACATGGAGAAAGAAAGAAGATTCGTTGCGTGCTTCAGACAAGTCTCGAAGATCATTCAGAGGACCCCCCTGCAAATATCCTCTTTTAGATGGAAAGGTTGAAATTTCACTTATTGTTCATTTTAACGTTTTAGGTCTGTATTGGAAACTTCAAATGAGTGTTTTTTTTTATGCTAATATAATTCATCTCGTTTCTCTAATGCATGTAACTGTCAAATTGATATACGATCAGTTTTAGATATTTTCGAAATGGAATACCTATTCAAATTGATTGCTCTTTTAGTAATTTCATTTTAAATATTCCACTTCTAAACATCACACTGACATCAAGAACAAAATATATCATAGTGTAGTAAATAAACTGACCAATTCTTAAGTTAGGGTTGAAGAATATTCTTGTTAGGTAAGTCATTCCAGTAACTTCATTTCGAATACCCTTCTGCACAAAGTACCGGTAAGCCAATTTGGTCTGATTAATCCTGTTAGACTTTTTTAATTAGGTTTTGTATACTCCATTATTATCTGTATCTATTCTATACCCAGCATTTCTGTAAGTTCAATATTTTTCAAAGGTTGCGGAATGGTTGTTAAGTCAGAGAGCAGTCCGAGGAACCGTTACTGGAAAGGAAGTTAGAGAAAAAGCTGTTCAAGTGGCTAAAGAACTCGGCATAGAGGGTTTTACAGGGGCAACAAACTGGTATTACCGATTTTTGAGGCGACAAAAGATAAATACTGATAGACTGAACTGGGATACCAAAGTTTTGAAATGGAAGCCTAGAATTAATAGGAAGAAGCCCACAACACCCAATAGCGAGTTAGTTAATACACCACCTTCATCTAGCAGTTCCACTTCACCGAGTCTGAAAAATATCTCCACTCAAACAAGAATTGCAGTAACCCGAACAAATAGCTCAAAACAACAACAACAGTCTTCCTTGAATGAAAGTGCTCTAAATAATCAACTAGAATCTCTCAGCTACTCAGCATTGCCGCTCTCTCTATCGGGAAGCAATGGAACATCAATAGGAAATAGTACGGAGAACATTGAAACAATATTTCCCTTTCAATCGCAGACTTATTCTGGTCCGGCTGATGAAGAGATTGCGGTTTCTAATCCACAGCGAACATCGCTGTCTTCAAAACTCGAGAACAGCATCAATACCTCAGACTTTAGTATTTTCAGCTCTCCTGACAGGTTATTTTTCTCGTCAATATGTATAGATATATTTAAAGATTGCCTTTTAAAGAAAAACTTAGATTTAAACGAAGTGTTTTGAGACTACTGCATGAGAGATTACTCAAATGTGAGGAGTCGTGATGGCAGTTTATATTCCTGTATTTCTTCTTGCATAGCGCGCAGGTTTATTTCAGACATTCTGTCTGCTTTTTGCTAACTAGCTTATATCTCTGAATTTTGATGGTATATCTTCTATAATACAAAGATGTATTTTCAATCTCCATAGGTGATACGCACACTGGGTTTGCAGTTTCTCATTTGTGTTTCGAGTTATTTTGTGCCGAAGCGTTTGGACATTCTGTCTGCTTTTTGTTAATTAATAACTATACCTCTAAATTGATTTGTTATCTTACCGTGAGTATTTGTCGCCTAATGGTCTGCCAACAATCATGATTTTCTCTTATTCGAGATAAAACTTTCATGCTGTTTTTTTTGCTGATCTTTTTAAAAGCTGATAAGGCCGACATTCAAAAGGTGTTTCCAGACGCTGCGCTTCAAAGAGACACCACTGGGGACTAATTTGAGTCACACATATCGACGCAGGAAATCCAAATTGGGCTAAATCCATTTTTCTAGTTTCGAGAAAAACACAAAAAACGTTTCTTTTTTGTTTTGTTTTTTTATATTTCTCTAATACCTTACATTAAGGATGTCTAGTTTTCATGGTCCACCAAAGTTGCAATGGAAGCCATATTTTGATGGTATAAAAAAAATCGTGATCCCCCCCAATTTTTTTTTTTCGAAAGTTTTTTGGACCTAACCCTTTTTGGAAATCAGGAGAGCAAATAAAACCTTAAAAATGGTTCAAAACGTATTTTTAATTTTCTAGGATAAAAACAATTTTATTGGACTTAGGGCCCCTTTATTATGTTATCATAGAAGTAACTTATCATTGAAAAACGTCAATAATTCCCTTCTACAATGTTTTTGACACTTTTTGTGAGCTTATCTTTACGTTGAAAAATATTCTTGCTTCTGAATCTTGATGACAATGGTTATCTAGCTTCGAATTTTTATCAGACCGCTGTTGCTACTGATTACTGCATTTTTTTTTCCTCTCAGAATCATTACCAACTTTATTACTAAACAAATATACGAAACAAATTGTAAATCATCAATCAGGGAGGGTTAAAGGAAATAGAAAAAAGCCCAGCATGGAAAACAGTTTTAAATAAGCTTAATTTTACAAAAGTTGCAATGAATGTTTTTTTTTAGATAGTCTTTCTGCTCATGAGATCTAACTTTCATCAACTACTGGAAGCATTTTGTAGAATCCTTGTGGTTTGTAGGGATTAAATATTATGACCCTTAAGTTTTGCCAATTCGACACAACTTGAGGAATGCCCCAGACAATGGCAAATGTATACCCTGTTCTTATCACTCTTGCTATCTTTATAAACACTAAATTTTCGCTGGGCTGGGTTTGCTTCTACCGAAACAATCATGATCTGATTCTAATAGACAATATTGACTGATATGTGAGAAGTATTAGCTAGTTAAGGATATAATATTGATTAATATTTTTTTGATATTCGATTTCAATGCACGATATGCTATCCCTTATTCCAAAGAAAAAATCTGAACTTGAAAGTGCCTGTTATACACATCTGTCAAATGAACCTGGAATTTCAATATGGAATTTATGTGCTATCTATGGTGTTATATGATAACAGGTTGATGATACAAAATCGTAGTTTTTAGAATTCCTGTATTGCTGCTTTAGAGTAATCTAAAATTTAATTTAATTGTTTGAATTTTTCAATGATGTATATACTTTTGTGCGCTGTTTCGTACTGAATTTTACAGAGATCCATATTGTCTTCATCACAGCAATGATATTATCATAAACATGACTACAAGTGCAACTATGCCAGAAATGGCAGCATAACATTTTTTGAGTCAGTGCTATTTTGTGCCTCATTCCTGATTTCTGTACATTATCTTAGAATTTTTTTAAACTTGCGATTATTTTTTGACTATCATTCTCAGCTAAAGTAGTTCTATGATTGTTGACAGTAGAATTATAAAATGTCAACCATGGACCCGCCAAAGAGAAAATCTTCAAATTGGTCTGAGGTTGATATAACGAATGCATTACAAGAACTTGAAGACGGTAAAGCTTTGCATCGTACAGCTGTAAAATATGGTATCCCTCCTTCAACTCTATCTGATCGTCATGATAGAGTTAAATCTGGATTGTATGGAAAACGAAAATGCTGGACAGAGGAAGATTTGGAGAATGCTATCGATGAACTCCAACAAGGAAAATGTAAATTAAAAGTGATTGCACAAAAATATAAAATCCCTGAAGTGACATTACGAGCAAAACACAGAAAATTTGTATCTGGAATTGATATTTTTCAAAGGGAAAAGTATGTTATAAAACGAAAAATATGGCAAGAAAATGATGTTGCAAACGCTCTACTAGAAGTGGAACAAGGTGAAAGACTTACACCAGTTGCCAGAAAATATGGAATTCCACAGTCAACTTTGTACGAGAGATTTCAAAAGCTACGATCAAAAAGGAATGATTCTGAAATTGGAAAAATTGAAATTGAACCCTTACCATCTGGATTAAATCTAGAGTCTGAGATATTAGCTGTTGCTGCAAAGTATGGAATAAAAGATGAAAAATTAAACAAAAATAATATGAAAACGACTGTTATTCCTCCAAAAACATGGACTGAAACTGATGTTTTTCATGCTCTGAAAGAAGTCAGTGATGGATTACATACATCTGAGGCTGCTAGGAAATATGGCATTCCACTTACAACTTTAAAACGAAGGCGAGATGCTCTCATATCTGGCAAAGCTCTCAAGTTGAATTCAACTTCGTTTGATAAAGAGGATCGAGGGTTCATGTTTTCTAATGAGAGTAAACTTGATCAATCAAACAACATTCCGGAAATAGAAATTGGTGATATAGGTGTTTCGGCTTCAAAAATTCCAAAAATGCAGGGCAGTACTGAACTAGAAATACCAGAAAATCTATTAGAGGAGAGCAACATAAATCATGAAGATGTTACTGAGGCCACTTCAGTCGATCCAAATTCTGATAGTTCTGTGAATAATTTGAACTCTGGGTTAACTTTACCTACTAATATTATTGAAAAATTGAAACAAAGCAAATTTGCAAAGCCTAGAAGAACGTGGTCTGAAAAAGATCTCTCAAATGCATTGAGTGATTTAATGGACGGCGAACTTCCCTCAAAAACTTCAGCGAAATATGGAATCCCTTTAACAACATTAAAAAGAAGGAGGGATATGCTATTATCGAGTCAATGCTCATCATTGAATAACGATGTTAATCTTTCACCAGATAAGAAAAATGGTGTCACTAAATTGTCTAATGGTGGTAGAAAATCAGTAGATGAAAAATGCAAGGTATTGAGAATGGCACTTCTAAGAAGCTTGGAATTAGCAAATTGCACTGACAACATACTACAATGTGAATTGTTCAATAATGGTAATTCACACGAAACTACGCAAGAAAATATTGAAGAAGAATCAGATTGCATTGAAATTCCTTCTATTAGTAATGATAGCAATGGATTACCCATCACTACCAATGGAAGTATGCTTGACAAAGAACAAGATTGTTATTATAATGACAGTGAATCCGAAATTGATAATTTATCACTCCCTGTGGCAGTAGAAAATGACTCCCAAATTAATTCAGAAACTCTTACGAATATATATTCTGCTGCACTTAGGCAGCAAACAGATGAAAATCCTATTATAAATACTCCATTATCTGTTCCAAATGTTATATCTACTAACTCCGCAGACAGTTTATTTTTTTCATTAATATGTTTAGAAATGGAGAATCTTCCAAGAACGAAACGACAGCAATTCAAACAGACTGTTTTAAAATTACTTTATGATACAATTGATAGCTGTGAATAATATTCATTTGTCGTGACATTTTCTTTTATGATTTCAAATAAATACATTTATATAGAGTTCAAGCGCTATTTGAATTTCCATTTTTTTTTCATACTCAACTATGTAAAAACATACCGATAGATTATCAAAACTGAACAATAATTATTCTTTTACTCCTTAGTACATTATGAAGAATCATTTTCGAATATGCAATATCAAAAGTATTCTAATTTAGGCATTTTCAATGAAAAAGTTACATGAGTATATTCGATGAGAGTAAATTCAGAGGGAATGATTTGAATCTCAATCGCCTGAAGTTGAATTGTTTTTGTTTGACATTATTCTCCTAAATGAAGAACTTGCTCTTAACAAAACTCATTTCAAATGTATTCAAATAATTATAGATTTCGACATCGTTGGGATATCTTGAACTCCAATATCGAAGTTCTTGAAATTTCGTTCAATTCTAAATAATTATTTCGAATAAGATACAAAATTTGCTCAGTATATTGGGATTATATTCCTAATATTCCTCCCCCATAAAGTCTAAAAAATATGACATTCAAATCAAAAATCCCCTTCATAGAAAATAGGGTTAGGGTTGAATTTGGAATTTTTCTTTGTATATGAAACTTTCTGGGTGGAAGTTTATTATTCAGCATATTCTTTATTAAATCCCTTTTAGTGTTTCTTCTTTTAATGATTATTTAAATAATCATTTCATTAATAGGGGTGTAAGACTGGTTGTTCATCATTTCATATAAATTTGATCATTATATGAGCATTCAATCACAAAGCAGTAAAATGGTTAAATTTGGTCATTTGAAGTTGAATAAATCATCTGCTAGTTGCATATCCTATACAATTCAATTTGTTTTAAGAAATTGCATTTTGAGTGTGTAAAAGTTTGAAATTGGCTGATCGAAACTAAATTATCAAGGCAGTGGTTTTCAACCTTTTTGATGAATCAGAGCCTCAATAAGACATTTTAAAGGCTAGTAACCCATGTGCAATAGTTTATTTTTCTGAGTTGTATAAACGCAAACCTAATACTGACAGAACAACTTTGAATTGTACCGAATTTCATACTAATATATATTTGATCATATTCGAACAATATACATATGAGCGTTCCAGAAGTATGCGTACCAATATGCGTTGTGTAAAGAGACTGAAACCTGTAAGCAGGGTGATATTCACTTGGCTAACACAGACGGTCCCCAAACTCGTAATAAAATTTAAAAAATCGCTAAATAAAATATTGTCTAACCCTAACCTGGAACACTTACTTTGGGAGTATCCATATATGATTATGGACTCTCAAACTTGGAATGAAAACTAGTGGAACTATAGTTTGCCACAGAACCCAAATTGAAACCCACTGCTCTATCATGATTCTAGACATCATGACAAGAACGAGCATGATATAGCCCTGTTTTGCCTTAATTTCTTTGTTTCGTTTATATTGCTACATTTTATTGGATTTTTTGTTTATATAGTCAATAATATACAAAAAGCTAGGATCTTCTTCAACAATTACAACTATGTTACCTGCAGCAGCTGCGCCTCCAAGGCCTCCTCCTCCGGGTGCAAGCAGTGTCACCAATCTCACACCATTGGATGGAATATTGAGTAAATATACTAATGTGATGAAAGGATGGCAGAACAGGTAGGTATACATGCTTTCTTCCTGTGTTAGGTATTGAAATGTAGAGCCAGAATTAATTGTTATTTTTCACTGGTATTAGGGTTGCAGTTGAGATTATTTCTTTTATATCCTTTAATTCCGTGGCTGGTGTTAAAATTTGGAATATTATGTAGCAAGAAATTAAAATATTTTTCTTAAAACTGAAAATTGATTGATAAGATCTACCAAGAGACGGGCAAAATCGCGAAAAAAATGTCAAAAACCGTGCCAAAACAGTGAAAATCCGTCCAAAAAAACTAGAAACCTTGCCAAAACATGCAAAACCAAAAAAAAAAAAACGTTATAAGTCACTAGAAACCTTGCCAAAGGTATTTTTTTTATCAGAGGTCAGATTTTTTTACCAGAGGTCTGGCTCTGAATCTGATGACTTTTTTCAGCTATTTCATGAGCATGACCATGATTAGCATGCTGAAATTGTGCAATATAGAAATTTTGTGTCCATGAACTTTTGTTAGAAAAGCTTTTTTTTGGTCGGACAGGGATAGACTCATAGAAGTACTTTTCAACTTAAATGATATGGTGCAGACAGTGGTGCTGATTTTCTGTGAAAAGTGTGCGCAGTATGTGTACCAGGTTAGGGTTGGGTCATAATTTTATTCCAATATTTCTTATTTTAGTTCTATTAGGAGTTTGGGGACTGAAATTATGGCCTAACCTGGTACATATACTACGTTCCGGTGTTCGCCATCTTGGTTCACATACTACGGGAGTACCAAACAGTAGGTCACCTTATAAATCAAATGACTAAACAATTTTATACCATGCTTTTATATCAAGTATATTTGAATGTATATTGTGATACACTTTTACTTATTATCGCTTGCATTTTCAGGTATTTCATGTTGAATCCCCAGCAAGGCGTTCTTGAGTATCACGTAAGCAAATCAGAAGCTTTTGGATCATCTCACAGACCAAGGGGATTTCTACATTTGGCAGGTGAATGAGCAGGATTTGAAGTCTTTGTTATTTACAGTATTTAGTGTTGAGCAAATTAAAATAAATTATCTTTTGATATGTCTCATATTTTTATAGATAAAAGTAGGCTATATCTTATCTCAGTTATTTTTTTATGCGGTGTAAGATTCAGTTTTTTATTACTGTTTATTTTATAGGGTCTTAGAACTGCTTTATACTTTAAATAAAAAAACAGTTTTTCATTTTTTCTTGCTATGTTACATCATCAAATACTTTGTCACTGTTCTTTAGTGGACAGTTTGTGAATGTTTGTTGACTGTTTAATCGAAATTATTTTTCAGGAGCTGTAATATCACCAAGTACTGATGACAAGTACACTTTCTCTGTTAATGCAGCGAATAGCGAAGTTTATAAATTGAGAGGTAAACCTCTTTTTTTTGTTTCGTTTTATTCTTTCTTCATTTTTGGATGTCTTTGGCATTATTTACGGTACTCCCGAAGTATGTGAACCAAGATAGTGTACACCTGAACGTAGTATGTGTACCTGATTAGGGTTAGGCCATAATTCCAGGAGTTACTTGGCCAGGCTCCCAACTCGTAATAGAACTAAAATAAGCAAAATTGGAATAAAATTATGGCCTAAGCTAGTACAGTGGTACACATACTACGTACCGGTGTCTGCCATCTTGGTTAACATACTTGGGGAGTACCACCTAAACAGCTAGTAGGACAATTTTTGGACACCTCGAGATCCTTTTTTCAAGTTATGAGTCTTACGAGTTGCTCACCTTGCGTTATTATCAAACGAGCCACTGATCTTCTTAGACACTGATATATTGAGACTAAAATCTGATATCTACCAGAATTACATTGAATGATATAATTATCTGTTTTAATTTTCAGCAAACGATACGAAAGAACGTCAACTATGGGTTTCTCATTTGTGTCAAGTCGCAGATCATTTCACACAACAAATTGCGCGAGATCATCCACCAATCAGTGGAGGACAATCCATGAGGAAACCAAGATCTATTTCATCATCAATGACTAATATTGGGCATAAAATAAAAGGTATTATTTTGTCTTGGATTTTTATATTCTATTGCACAAAGTATAGTCGCTGCAGAGGTAAAATGTAGATGTTTCAGGAATATCTATTTGATATTTTTTTGACTGATTTAAATAAATTTTACTGTCCTTATTCGAAATTTTAAATATGATTTTCGATTTGTTAATGGCTTGAGAGTAGAGCAAGTTTGCGAGTCACTGTTCTAAAATTCAAGTTAATCTCGGTCACTTTGGATTCTGTTAAACACTTTACACTTTTCCTACATCTGGAACCAGTAATATGCTGTAACAATAATTCTTTAGTTGAACCATATTTTACAGCATACCTTCCTTGATACGTTTTCATCCATACCTTTTACTTTCCGGTCGCCATGTCCAAAATTGTGATATTGAGATTAATTGAAAAATCTTTATTAATATTTTATGTGTTAATGTAATTATTCTAATTAATTATCGTTTTATTCATTGCTGATCATGGAGTTTGGCTTACTATGATGTGTAAGTATTCATTTAATCTGTTCTGAATATTTTATTAAAGATACAAACTTATTTACCTGTTAAAGATAAAGTTACAAACATTATTGAAGATAAAATAATAACTAAAGAGCAATGCTCAAATATATGGACACGAGACGAAGTAGTATCGAATCTTTGAAATGAATGGAAGTAATACCTTCTAGCGACTACAACAATCATTAACTAATAGAAATTTTGAAGCAATTGGTCCAGTAGTCTGAGAAAAAGGCGATTGTTTTAACTACAAAAAGAGGAATACTAACAACAACAATTTAACTCAACGAGCCATAGGGCAACTTCATGTCCTATAAATTGAAGTTTATTGAATTTTGATGATTTGCAAAAACACCAATTTAGGGGATTTTGTTTGAAATATAGCTCGCTTGTGGGAGCATCTAATGAATGTGAATTCGATTCTCAATAGGAATAGCGTTATATTGAAATCTGTTTGTCCACTTTCCTTATTTGGAAGAAGTTCCTATTATTAAATACCCTTTCTTTCATTCCAATCACAGATGCAGCAGATCAAGTCCAGCAGAAAACAGCTCATACAATTGCCAAGAATAGGCGACCGGCTGCTCATGCTACAACTTCTTATAATACAGAATCAGGAGATATCAGACTTGATTCTAAGCCTCCAGGTAATATTCTATTCAGAGTTACTCTGAATTTTCTATTTGATTTCTCTAGACATGAGGCCGTGGTTTTCTGGAAGTAAACATTCTAAAAACTAGACCTAACAACGGATTTACTAGTACCATAGTTGGATTTTTTAAACCAAAGTCACTCACACTCACTTACAATTGAAGGGATACTCTTTTCCTAGCAAAGTTATGAGCAAACTCTGAAATGCTAAAGGCTAATGAAACTATATAAATTTTGTTGCTGTTACTGACCTATTGTTTTAAATAGTAAAGATATGAATATTGCTCAAAGGCTTCACATTTCATCCTTTTGTATCTTGTATCTTAATATTGGCCTCTGGTCCAAAAACCCTGCCCACTCCAGTTCTAACTGGTAATATGGCCAACCACATCAATGCTTCCTCTATTAATGTTTGAAGTAGCTTATTTTTACCGATTTATTATCGAGGTTTTGATGTAAAGAATCATATTTTCCTATTATAGTTCCATCAAGGCCACGTTCAAGCAGTAGATCTTCTGTGAATAAATCATATGGAACTCCCCAACTTGGTGCTAAGCGAAGTCATAAAAGTGATTGCAAGGAATTGAGAGATGTTAGAGAGGTAAAGTGCAGCATTATGAATACGAACAAACCACTTTTTCTGATTTTTTGGGATAATTTCTTTTCCTCCCTGTCATTTAGATGTGTAAGTTCCCTTAATAACTTGGCATGCTAATCATATTTAAAAATTGCTAATTTTACTATTTTTTGTGTTAAGTTTGTATTAACATTTGGTGATTTGTGTAGATGTTATGTTTTGTTGAAGTACATTGAAATATTTAGTATACAGAAAGTATTGTCATATTCCAATCAGTCATAAATTGACCTTTATTTTTTTTACTTAAAAGAGATGTTTTCAGTAAGAATTCCATTTAATTTAGATGAAATTTGAACCTTGTCGGTATATATACAGATCCAGATATGGTTTTCTTGTCACTGTACTAATTGTATATTATTTTTCAGGCTTTAGTATCGGCTGATAACTACCATGCAGGACTCATGAACATGTTAGAAAATCTGCCTCATGTTTTTTCTGTTGAAAGTGCAAACGAAGATGAAAGTAGGTCTTGTGATATATTTATGTATCGAGTAAAGTATTGGTCTAAATCAGTAGTTTTTAAACTGTTCAGGCCACGACCCCTTTCTAGAATTTATCAAGTCTGCGTCCCACCTCAAAAGTAATTAGCTAACAATAAGCTACAAATAACAGACAGTAAGGCAAAAATATGTTTTATTTAAAAAACGCGTTGAAAATATATGGATGTAACATGAATAATGTAGTAAATTAAAAGTTTCAAAATGTAAATATCCGAAATAAGGTCAAATCTAACAAATATTTTCATTTTCAAATAGCCTCACGCCCTCTCAAAAAATAGTCCACGCTCCCATGTGGGGCTTGCCCCACTGTTTGGGAACTACTGGTCTTAATGGATATTTGTACAATTTTCCTTATTGAAAAACCCAATTCAGGGTTTATTCAAAATATCAAATTTGAAAATATTGTTTTAAAAAAAGTATTAAGTAAACAGTTTTTCGGTGCCCCAGAAGTGTGGAGGTAACTAATTTTGTTCAACTATTTTACATCAAGTTGTGTAAAGGAACTAATATGGGCAGGGGAGTCCCCGAACTCGTAATAGAACTAAAATAAGGAAAATCTGAATAAAATTATGGCCTAACTCTAACTTGGTACATACACTATACGGGTGTATCCAGTTTTCCACCATATGCAACTTGAACATCATTGTAATGTTGACTTATGTTTTGTGAACTGATGAATTAGTTGGAATTTTACCATGTACAATCAACACCTTGATTGAAATGTTTGTTTTTATTGATTTATCTTTCATATTAACTGACTTATTGATCAGATATAAAATGAAATACTTTTGCTAAGTATGGTAGGCCTCTTCTTCTTTGTGAAAAGTTAATTTGCCCTCAAAGCGAATACAACTAAGTCTATAAGCCTGTTACCAACTATATTAACCATCTCCAAAGCACCACCATTATTCAAGATGTAAAGAAGTAATAATTACAAAAGTTGACACTATGACTATAAAGGTGTTGTGAAGCAATTAGACCAAAGCATTAACAATTTTTTTTTTCTCTTATTTTCAGAGTCCGACGGCATCTTATCAGCTCTAGATGAAGATGTTCTGTTGTTGAAATCAACTTCTTCATCAACATTGAAATGTTTGAATGAATGTTATACAATACTTCAGCAATATCAACATAAACAATTTGCTGCTTTACCACCTGGTAAGATGTTTTATCAGCTTGTTAGCTAGATAAAAGATTACCTTGGTGTACAAACATAGATCTCTCATGCAAAATAGCTTAAAACTAGAAAATATAGGCTTAAAGTATTCTTACTGTTAAGTATAATTGAGGGTTCGGCATCGTTGGCCCATGGTGCTAAGCGTTAGGAATGCAAGGGCCATCACTCCGGATTACCATGCGAGGGTTCGCAAGTTCTAATCCAGTGGGGCATTATTTTGTGCGAGAGGATAGCTGGACTTCTCGTCATTGCAGGGTGATTCATTTTTAATTTTTCTCAGTGTTTAATTGGGTTCTAACTAAATTCTGCTATGATGCTTCTTATCTTCCAGGTGTCCAAATATCTTGGGTTGAACCGAGAGACAATCACAGTCTGTCTTCAGGACATAACATGAGCGGGGATGCGAGAGGATCGTTAAGTAATCAATCTGTGGATTCCGTAGAAGAACAACCAGCTCAGGTGCAGTTCATAGTTTAGTTGAATAGTAGTAAAGATTGTATTATTTATTCCCTTCTTTCATTGAATTTTCAGTGAGAAAATCTAGTGAGATGTAATCTATAACCTGCTTAGAAATTTGACAGTTCTTAATCATAATAATAATAGGAACCAAGAAAGTTACCTGTAAAAGGCCCTGCATTCATTTAAATTTAAGAATTGTGATGTGATATTGGTACTTACACTTCTCAGAGAATACCCACTGATAATCCACTAAAAATTTGGTTGGCCTACCTGTTTATGCCCTTCGACTTAGGTAATAATGCCTAGCATCTATATCTAAGTGTTTTGGAACCACCAACTGCTGTCTATATTGCAAGTATATATTCTAGATCAAAGAAGTCATTCTCAATGTATCTTATGTGGTATGTTAGTATGACACATGTGTGAAAATAATCATTTTTCGTTGATAATTATTTTATCAATTTGATAATTATACGCGTTATATTATGTTCTAGATAAAACTGTAAATTAATATTAATTTCATGATGTAATTTTGAATATGCATGAAAACTTGTAGTAATACAATATCAAATTTCTTGAATCAGATTTTAAATATTTTTATATTTATTTGTTCTTGTGAATGTTTTCACGATGGAGAAGCGTGTTTCTTTATTAAGTCCTTTTTTTGACAATTTAATTAACGTATGGATAATCAGATAAATAAAATTAATATTCAAACTGCGATTTTTGAACAAGTTTTTTTTTAACTTGATTATTACTGAAGACATTTTGCTCATTCACTCACTTTTCCATCGTTATACATAATTAATTAATTGTGAATTGTGCTGCTAGTTGTTACCTTGAGCATGTAATCGAAATGTAACAAAGCTCACTATAAAGTTGAATTTGAAAGAAATACTTAATATAATCCAGGGAGTATTTGAGATGGGCAATCAGAGTTTGTGAATGGTTTTATTTATAGTTGAGCTGGAGGCATGTTTTCATACTTCCTCATTTTAAACAAGAGTCGAACTTTTGTGTTTCTTGGTTTTAATTTTGATGGCGATAATCAACCTTAAGAATTTCTGAGAGTAGCCGACTTTATCAAGTTAACTAGCCTAAGCATTTTTAACAGACAACTATGGAAGGCTTGCTTTTTCAAATTTTAGTTATCAAGTTTGGTTTTATTTGAGTTCAGGGCTAGAATCTGAGTTACTTCAATTTTGAGAAGTCCCTTTTTAAATAGCTCAGGAGTTTGTTTGGAGTCTGAGGTGACTATAAATATTCCTCCACTGCCTTGGTTCATCTACCAAAAACATTATTCGTTTTGAGAAAAAAATTTTAAAAAATATTACACAGGAACCAACCATCAATCCAGCTGATGAAGTTTGTGATTTAAATGAGTTTGATGAAGAAGATCTTGGTACTGTTGAGAAACATAAGAGTGTAATAATGCATTTATTATCACAACTTAAACTTGGAATGGACTTAACAAGGGTAAGATATTACTTGTGAACTTTGAAGTTTAAATTTCATTGTCTAAAATTGTCTGTTAGGGTTTTTCTGAGTTGGTCTTATTCATGGCATGAAAGTTTGTATTTCTAGAAACCTTTTTCTTTGATTATGATTCATTCATTATGGTAGAAATCTTCAGGAGAATTGAATTTTGAAAAGATCAAAGTTGCAGATCTATGCGTCAAGCGTGAAGTGGCTGTGTTGCTTTCAATGCATTGTAATCTCGATGCTTTTAATCCAGTGTTATTTTTCCTATGAAATAACTTGCTCATAATTTATGGGGTAGCACTTTAGAAAGTTAAATTGTGTTGATAGAAATTACATTTTGCAATACTCAAACCTGGTGAGCCTCATAGTATGGGCTTGGTGAGATCAATTTTCTGTCACCAAATATTATTATCCCATTAAGGTATATTAGTACGTTTTTCTTATTAGGACTATTTTATTCAAGTGTCGAGAACAATGTATTTTATACACAGGTAACTCTGCCTACCTTCATTCTTGAAAAGAGAAGTTTGTTGGAAATGTATTCAGATTTCCTCGGCCATCCTGAGCTATTCATCTCAATACCAGGTGGTTCAAATCCTCGTGATAGAATGATCAGAGTTGTTAAATATTATCTCACATCGTTTCATTGTGGAAGAAGAGGTTTGTGGAATTTATATCATAGTTGGAGAGTGGGCCCAAGGAAGAACCTTGGCACAGTTTGTTTTGACTTCTCTCACACATAATATGATATATACATGTGCAAAAAATTTGTGCTCCAGAAGTGTGTTTACCAATATGGAGGTAACTAATTTTGTTCCCCTACTTTATATCAAGTTGGGTAAAGGGACGGAAACCTATGGGCAGGGGGTATATTCACTTGGCTGACACAGACAGTCCCCGGACTCATAATAGAACTAAGATAGGGAAAATCGGAATAAAATTATGGCCTAGCCCTAACCTGGTACACACACTACGGGAGTACCAAAAAATGTGCATGGATAGTTTTGGATAGCTAACATAACCTAAAATACGGTTTTAAACATGATTTAAAGTGAGTGGGTCTAAAAGAGATATGAAAATAGTATCGAATGCTGACCCCCATTGTATTATGTTTCGTGGTTGTTTTTGCCTGGAATTACCTTCACGAAAAATAAAGAAATTAAATATTGAAGTTGTTTTTTTAGCGTATTGTTATTTTATCCTGACGGTATTATTTTCCCACATTATTAAACACAAAATATACATAGGGAGAATTTCGCTAAAATATTGTTCTTATAAAATCACTTTCCTCCGCAACTAATTGATGACTGGACTGGAGTCTATTTTAAATTTTTAGCTAGCACTTAAAAGTTGTTGATGCTTGAAGACTGTATTTTTAAATGTTTGAGTAGGCTACTGCTCTCTTGTTCTTTTTTCATAACTCATCTACATGTACTCATGTACTGAGTAGCAATGGTTTACAAATAAAGTCTTCGCATCGGTGGACTTCATTTTAGTTGCTGTCCCATAAAAATTGCAATTCACACAACCGATATCTTAATATAAATTTTCATGTATTTTCTGTATGGAAACATGTTGCAATATATTTCAGGCCAATTAGCAAAGAAGCCATACAATCCAATCATTGGAGAAACATTCCAGTGCAGTTATTACGTACCCAGGTCATTTGATTTGAATGAATCATTTGACTTGAGTAGAACAACGCAAGTTCAATCCTCATCTACATCGTCGCCAGATGGTTCAACACATTATAGGATAAGATATGCTTCTGAGCAGGTAATGAAGGTTTTGGTATTAATTTTTTAATTATTATTGGTGCATCATCATGAGCAAAATTTTGGTGTTTGGAAATTTCATATGTAGAATACCTTGTTATCTATACCAAGGTGATAAAAAGTCAATAAATGCATGGTTATAGTTTTTGTTTAATTGATTCGAACTCCCATGTTGTCAATAAATAACAAAGAAATAGAGAACAGTTTTATCTATTAGCAAATTGGTCAAACTGTTTGGACAGTAAACCATTGGAATACAATCATTATTAGAGGTATTCTTCCTGTTAAAGTCATATTGTACTCGTCAGAGTCAAAATTCTAATTTTCCCTAGTTGGTAGTCACAATTGCAGACATTCTCGGTGGTGATAAAAGAGATCCAAATTTCATGCACAGACTAAAAAGTCAATTTTTCTAAGCGTTCATAACAGTCTTTTATAGATTGCTTACATATATACCAAAGTTTTGTTATCAAAATTTGAATTTTTTTTTCATTTGGAACTGGAGGTCTGAGTCAAAGTTTCTACAGCCTGGAGTTAGATGATTCTAAATGCAGAGTCTGAATCAAATGTTTTTCGACCCAGTATTGGGGGTCTGATTCAAATGTAATTTTCCGTTATTCAGCAGTCCTGGTTAAAATTTATTCATTGCTCCAGAAGTATGTGTATCAATATGGAGGTAACTAATTTTGCTCGCCTCTTTTACATCAAGTTGTGTAAAGGGACTGAAACCTGTGGGCAGGGGGGAAATTCACTTGGCTAACACAGACAGTCCCCGAACTCGTAGTAGAACTGAGATATGGTGAATTGGAATAAAATTATGGCCCAACCCTAACCTGGTACACATACTACGGGAGTACCATTTACTCACCATTATCATACTTTCTGTTTAGGTCTCACATCATCCTCCTGTATCAGCGTTTTATGCAGAATGTCCTGAAAGAGATATTTGCATGAACACCCATATATGGACCAAGTCTAAGTTTATGAACATGAGTATCGGAGTTGTTAATATTGGTGAAGGTAACTAGAGAATTCAATTGCTTTAAAATTAGAAGGAAGAATTTAAAAAAGTAGTATAGTTAAAGCTGTCTGATGTGCAATCATCTGTGGTCAATATAGGCAATTTTTTTTGTATTAATAGGTAAAAGTCACTTGCCATATTTTTATAAGAGTCTTGATAATTATCACAAAGGACAATGGGATACTGCAGAGGGTATTTCAAACCTTATCCTAAATAATTTAGCTAAATCTTCATCGTGTAGCATTTTTTGCTAATTATCCTGTTTTTCTAGCCAAATTTTAGTTTTTTTTTCATCTATGGATCAAGTATACATCTACTTTTGCCACTTAGCCTGTTTAAACCATTAAGTTTGGATTATGCATACAGAAAGGAGATTCATTTATTTTTCGAACCGTTACATTTCACAAAATTTACATTTTAGGTGTTATTACACTGACTGGACACAAAGAACGCTATGTAGCAACATTTCCTTCAGCATTTGCCAGATCTATATTGACAACACCATGGATGGAATTGGGCGGACGATGCACAATAACATGCGATCAAACTAATCTAGCTGCTAACGTAACGTTTCATCCAAAACCAATGTATGGTGGACAACCTCATAGGTTTGTGTAGTGTTTGTAGTTAATATATGCAAGTTTTAACTTTGTCAATTTGTTTTAGCCTTAGGGGTTGTTTTCTATAGTATTGTTAAAATGAAAGCATGAAATAATTATAAAAATGAGAGAAACAAAAAAATTATGATAAAATTTTGATATTTGTCAATAAAGAGGAAATCCGAGCCCTAGGAAACTACTTATCGTGATCATAAACGATCTTAGAGTGCCCTGTAGAGTAAAACAACAGATCAGTGGTCATGAAACAATGTCCATAATACCCATCTGTTTTTTAAGTGTTGAACCCTGCCCCGCAGAAACTAATTTGCTATTTCAAAGTGTGCTCGTAACATTTGCTTAAGAATTATGATTGCCGCTTCATTCAATTAATCATTGGGCATCACAGTTAATTTGTTGAAATCTTATTTTGCAGTAATGAGAATCCTTTATTCAGTATGACTAATCTTTATCGTTTTTAGAATAACCGCTGAAGTAAAAGACATGGGAAGTGGATCTGTATTCTGTAGAGCAGAAGGTGAATGGAACGGCAATATTACTTTCACATCTACCACGGTTTGTACTACTTTTCATTGGCTAGGAATAACTTCATTAAGATTGTAATTGAGTTTGGATATAACTGTCAACTTAATTCCTTAGACATCCCAACAGGAATGAGCACCCATACTACAGAGATGATGTTACCGCTTCATCTTCACAGCTAGTTGGTCACCATCAGTCATCTGTAGCTGTTGACATCACTGGTCATGCTAAGGCATCTGTGAAAATACTGATTGCCATAAATACAACAAGAATAAAATTAAAATATAACCTAGCATGGCAGATGCCAGTCAAAAATGCTACATATGTATATTTGTAGGTTTTCACAGTGTTCATACACATCTTTCACTCAGACTAATTTTTCTGTGCCAAAATCCACTGATATTTATTGCATTATTGTACTTTCCAGATGATCAAACGAGCTTATGTTACAAACTTTCTTAACTGGCCACATATTTGACCTATTTTTATTTGAAATATGTGATATTTCCGATTTTATTGAAAAAAAATTTAAATTCAGTCAAAATACATTTATTTAATCTATCATCATAATAGTACTTGATAAAATGAATTTAAAAGTTTGGCTCTCCCGAAGTATGTGCACCAAGATGGTGCACAACCTTAACACAGTATGTGTACCCGGTTAGGGTTATAAGATTGTGCATCATCTGGTGCACATACTTCAGGAGCACCAAAAGTTCACATTTTTAAAATATCTGGAAGTTTTAATATACATTATAAAACAGAGATAAAAAAAATTTTGTTCAAAGGCTGATGGAAACCAGAAGACAGAAGTTATAGAAACACCGACGTACAAAAGTTACAGTAAATATGTTCGACCATTAAACCTCCAAGAACCAATGGAATCAAGGTAAACATTAGTAACTCATTTAAAATGCTCTTTCATTGTAGATCATGGCAATATGGTACATAAGTCCATATGTATTGTCCAGGAAATGCTCTCACGTCCCACAGTACTGTGATTCTATTGGAATAAATACTACAAAAGGTGTTACATAAATTTTAGGGTACTCCTGAAGTATGCGCACCAAGATGTCGCATAACCTGAACCCTAACCTTGTACATAACTTGAGTTCAGGTTGTGCGCCATCTTGGTGCGCATACTTCAGTAGGTTTTTAGTGCAATTTTGATGTTGTATACACTCTGCATTGATTTAATTCTCAAAGCTTTTCTCATGAATATGTTAGACAGATTGTATAGTAATAATTAAACTTTGTGTGCTTTGTGCATTGTTTTCTTGTATTGACCAAGAAACAGTATAATTCATCATCCTATTTTATATCATTCTGATAGTGTAATAGCAATCTTTGTATACACTTAGTCCACATTATTTTGAATGTCTTGTTTCATCAGGAATCTCTGGAAAGGCATCACAGCAGCATTGATTGATAATGACATTACGACTGCAACTGATAGGAAAACTGCTTTGGAAGATTGGCAGAGAAAGAGAGAAAAAAGAAGACTAGACACTGATCAGCCTGTCAAGTCTGCTCTGTTCCACAAGAACGGAGACGCTTATGTTTATAAAAATTCTATAGTTGCAATGTAGAATTATGAAATATTTCTTTCTCTCTTTTATTGTGGTTATATATTGGATTCGTGTAAGAGTATCAAATAATAAAAAAATTTGCATTTATTATGGTCAACATATGGTTGGGCCATTAATGTGGGGAGAGTATTTATAGGAGTGGGGCACGACACGTAATGTGTGTACCGGGTCGGGGTTAGGCCATAATTTTTTTCCGATTTTTTTTTATATTAGTTCTATTAAGAATTCAGGGACTGTCTGTGTTGGCCGAGTGAATATACCCATTAGTTACCCCCGTATTGGTACACGCACTTATCGAGTGCTCTCTTGAGACACCCACGTTTGTCCTGGTTTGAATTTATATCCTGTTCAAATTCCATCAAAATTTCTTGATTTTCAGAGATTTAGTTTACATTTGTCACCCAATGGCTTAAAATGAAATGAATATTTTGAATTTACTGAAATTAAATACAATTAATATTTATTTGCCCCTTATTCCTTATTTTCAGGTTGTTGTTATATTCTTGCTAGTACTAATAGAAATGAAATGAATTTTGGTGACAAATAAAATTAATCATCGTTCGAATTCAGCCAATTATAGTTTTGTTCTAATGTTACGAAATTTATACCTTCCTATTTTACACTTATTCTTTTTCTCATGAGTAATTGAATCAAATAGCTATAAGTGTTATAATCTCCATGGCGACCATAGTGCTATTGTCGTGCTGTTTTCTGAATTGATTGGAAATATTAAGTTAGCCGTGGTACTGTTTATTGGCTTAGTGCTGCCTCTACATAAGTCACGGTGTCTTGGATCATTCTCAATAGATTTGTCTTGTTATTTTTACGATATATAGTCTTAATAATATAAAATGAAAACTTTTTCTGAGAATGCTTGTTAGAAGAGTTACAAAGAACAACGGAAATCTTAATCTACTCACAAAAATCATTCTGATTTACTTCAAAACAGTTTTCCATTAAAAGAGAAGTTTATCTATCAGCATTTAGGTGTTTATTTTGAACTCCGGCGAAATGGTACTATAGAGAATGACAACCCACAGACAACTGAAATAGCAATCGGCTCAAAAATCCTTCTGCTCTGTTATACATTTTATTCGATATTTAGTTGTTTATTTTGAACTTTGCGTGACGAATGGCAACACGCGGGCGGAATTCATGAAAGTTACGCTCCCTGGAATTTCTATCTCGTGACCTAAAATATATAGATGGAAAAATACGCCGTGATCATTTATGAATGTAGAAATACAAACAATACAGCAATAATAACACACCGATTCTAGACATCGCATAGTTGTATTGGGTGGTGGAAAGATAGTGAACACTTTCAGCACACCGTTTTTGTTCCCATTTTAAACTAATATGACAGACTTACTCGAAAGTTTGATACCGTACTGTTGGCTAGTTAACGTAGCCTACTGCTTCTTATTTGTGTCCATATACTTGAGCAACGCTCTCTGGCTTTTAGATATGTTTGTGACTCGGTGAATGAAACGAGCATGATTTCGGATTGTTTTAGAAGTAGTACCGTGTCTGTTTAAAATGATCTATTAATGGAGAGGATTCTGTATGGAATTTCACGAACGTCTAAATTCTCGAGTAGCGTTTGTATTTGTTTTAATGGTATGTTAGGAAATTAGGGCCGTCCACCGCCTTAAATTAGATTTCAAACCACTAATATCATTCATAAAAATATGCATTAAAATGTTTTTAATATTAGCATTGCGCCCAAAATACCAGCCGTTACTTAAACTGCGTCTTGAGGTAGAAATGCATGGATGTGTCATCGGTGATTCAAATATTTTATTATTTTTGTTTCTCTTTACGACCTCCGGTATAAAATGCGTAATGTCATATCGAGCTCGAGTAGTCTTTAGCTCACCGGAATTAGTATCTCTGCATAAAGTATCATGACTTATCGGCGGTTACGCATAAACTATGAATAGTAAATACCTGAGAATAAGAAAATGTATAAAAATCTTGTCTAATGTTGGTGAGATAGATTTAGTAGAAGAGACGTATTCATTGAATTATTGTTGTTTTACGATTAATTTTAAACCCAATATTGTAAAAGTTTGCGCACAAAACAGTTTTTCATACAAATGTATATACTCAAAAGCTGCATTAGATTACAAAGACATGGCGCGAGTATGGCTAACTAGTAAGAGAGAACGTGACTTCGAAATATGTATTTTGAGCATCAAGTGGAAATCAAAATAGGAATTTCGGATGATAATTGGGATCTTTATCACCACATACAAGCTTTATTATTCATATTTTGGCTTCAATACTTTCGTTGAAGGCGTATTATCAGGCTTGTCCATGGGATGGGACAGCACATATTTGTATTTCCCATGGGACACGAAAACCGTTTGATTTTCGGGGAAATGATGGTAAAACAATTCGTTATGGATTTCGTGTCCAAATATTGAAGCATACCGGTAGCTCTCTTGTTAGTCATAAAGAGCAAAATGTATTCGGCAATAAAAATATACTTCGTGAAGGGGCTGATGGAAACATGTATAATAGGTATGAATATAAAGTTAACAAAGTCCGTAAAATTTGTTGTGCTGCATGTCTATTCGTACATGTAGTTCTATTTAGTAGACGCTAAACCTAAATTTAACGATTTTTATTGAATTTTATTCCGATGGAAATCCCATGGGATAGGATGTGACAGGCATAATTGCCGTGGGATGGGAATGGGACAGAAAAATATGTCTTATGGACAAGTCTGCGTGTTATACTCCCGTGTTCTCGAACATTATCAGGGAATGTCAAATTTATCGTAAATCAATGCTTCCCGTAATGGGATAACCCGTTCTTGGTTTTTCAGACCTTGGGCAACAGCAGCAAATGAGTAACGTGCACCGCAGCGGATTACTAGCCTTATATTTGGCGTTTCTAAAGTTATGTACTAAATTTGTGCAGTTCAGTGTGGCGGAGGACTAAAATTAACCTGGTCACGAATTAGCCATTATTATTGGAATTTTTTAAAATAAGGTTTACAGTGTAAACACGATTGCCGGATCGATGGACAACTCTAGTTGATGGGCGTAATGATTTCACTTCAATGACAATTATAGCTAACTCCACAACAGCGTTTACGGAATGGCATTAGAGTTAGACACAAGTAAATAGCTTTCCAAACGGGAATCGAGAGTTGATAGCACGGACGATATTTAGCCATGTTATTAGCGACAAAGCCTCACTACAACCTTCAATTTTAAAGGATTGAAATTCTCAATACAGCGAAAAATTGTTGCCACAATTGTATATATGGTTGATTAAATTTCCATTTTAACGCAAGGCGTCACCTGCTTCAGTCGTCTGCAAGACTATAAATAAGGTCTTTGAAAATAAATTATTTCTCATGTTAACAGCATTTATTTTCAGATTTCGCGCGTTATCACCAATTCGATAAGTAGCAAATATATTTTCGGCTGGCTTGTGCTAAAAACCCTTTACTGTTTTTGGATGAAACATATGCATGGTTTGCTTTTTTGCTAGGCACTTACTTATCGAAAGTAAACTCATAGCAAAATGTAAATTAACTTGAAATGCCATTAACCTATACGCTAATCTTTACTGTAATTGTCGCGAGATTTAGGGGCGACACGTACGATTACGGTTGATTTGTCAGGAATTCGGGTAAAAAAACGCGTGACTTCGCAGAAACACCCTTTTCAAAAAGAATAATAATAGATCATTCATTCACTTGTCGTTATGGCCTCGTTTCTCACGGAGAGTGAGAATAAGCCTCGTCCTATTATCGTAAATGGTTGTATTAGTACTCTATGTATCGCAGTTGTAATGTTAGTTCAAATACATTTTACAACAATTTACGCTTCTATTTTACTTCACAACACCTCCCTGTGTTATTTATAAAGCTGTTGCTATACTGAGTTAGAATGAGTAATAGTAGTTGAAGAAAATATAGTAAACATTACCTAGTTTGAAATAGTCGAAAGTTTGATTATTAAAAAGAGTTTCCTAACATTGTAAAACAGTGTATATATATATATATGTGTGTGTAAATAGCGTGTTCACGATGGCCCTCACAATTCAAGACATCAGGGTAAAGGACATTGAAAAACGGAAACTTCCATCCAAGCACTATGTAAGTACATTGCTACAAATATCGACTAGAAAAAAGAAATTCTGTGATTCAAACAACAAAGCGGTGCTAGCATTTGACTATAATTATGCTTTACCTATTTTCAAAATAATTTATATATATGACATTCTCTACTTGATTTATGTGTTTTGTTTCACCGTGTGTTTGATGAAGCATGTGTTCTGTATATATAAGCGTGGAATTGTGCGAATATAAATAAAAGGTACTTCTGAAGTATGCGCACCAAGATGTCGCACTACCTGAACCCAAACCTGGTATACAAGCTGAGTTCAGGTTGTTCGCCATCTTGGTTCGCATACTTCAGGAGGTCCAAATAAAATATCCGTGATGTATATTTTTTGTTTGTCAATGGCATCCTTCGTTTTGTGAATAGTGGCGTATCTGCGTAACAAGGCATCCATGACAAAGTTTAAAAATACACCCCCCTGATCGTTGACTGACAATTTTTACCGACTGTGGTTGAATTGATTTACTTACACTTTAGTATTTAAGTAAAGGTACTAATTTCAGATATTTCCAAATTGAAATTATTTCATCCAGACATTTTACGATTGAAATATTTTGCCCCTTTTCTCTCGAACCATGGCTGCCATGATCTAGATATGCCACTGTTTGTATGTAATGTACTACTATAGAGGGTGATACCATTATGAGCAAAAAGATTGGCAAATATTGTGATTTCCGCTTGAGCATCTCTCGATAACTGCGATTTGCACATTGCTTTTTTGTGTCTGTATGAAGTCTGTATGAATTGGTTGTACCGTGACAAAGAAGGAAATGGTTTTGCAGTTTTTGATTTCTCTATATTCATAAGCATTCTCGCAAAAATATTTCTTCAATGCTATATCTGACCTCTATAGAATTTAACATTGTACGACTACATCATAGTACAGGGTCCATAAAGTTTTAATTATTTTTAAATTGCATAGGAAATTTATCGATACCATATATTGTTACGGCCGCCACAGGTTTATTAAATAAAGTAAAAATACTTGAACAATAACAACTTAAAAAACAACAAACCTGGTTAGGATATATTGAAAACTGACTTCACGACAAAATTGAAATTGTAAAGGGACTATATGGACACCCTGTATAATACATATATATATTTTTTTAAATCTTGTTTTTTCGTGCAGTAATAATATTTTAAAACTTTTCCATATTTTAGGCGTACATTATCGAGGTCGAATGGAGTAACAATACCAAATCGATGATAGGTAGACAATACAGTGCGTTCTTCGATTTTCAAGTAAGTTTGTGGACTGAGATTGAGACGTGTACCTAATGACGTCTCCCTTTATGCCTTAAATATAATTTATTGACTTTGAAGAGTTTACCTATAATGCGTCGTAGGGAGTGCCGGGATTCGATTGTTGAACACGAATAAAAGACCTACACTACAACCACAGTTTTTTTGCTGAAATATCACCTATTTATATCTGCCATTTAGTGGTTACTGGGTATAGGTCGATAGTTGCCATCATCTTCGTTCTAGGTATTTTCCCCCGATGTTTATCTTCAAATAAACTTTTGATATCGACCTGAACAAATTCTCAGAAAAGCAGCCTGACATTCTTCTATACTGGTGACACGGGAAGAGATCAAAAACAAATTCAATCGAGCAATTTTTAAATAATTGTATTAAGTTAGAATCATTGTTTATTGTGTTTTTGAATTAAGTGCACCGTATAGTTTTACGATACACTTATTCACGTTTACGCTCCGAACAAGAAGCCACTGATCTTTCTGTTTCGCATCGTCTACCCAATTTATGGAACCATGCGATGTGTGATTTGAATCTTGGATGTGTAATCTGCGATACCAACAAAGTTTAGTCAAACGCTTCAAACGAACTCTAGCTTACCTGAATACCTGTAGACGCTTTGAGTTTGCGGAAATTTGTGGAATTGCTGTTTCGATGTGTGCTATCAATTGGGTTTCTGCGAGACTAACTAGTTATTCTTCTTCCATGCTGTCGTCGTCGTGTCGGTGAATCCGTAAGCATATAATGCAAGGATGCTGTAGCAAAAGTGAAGATAATTATTCTAAGTGATTCAAAAATCTTGCTGCACACTAACATAAATATATTTCTGTAACGTTTCGTCTGACCAAAGACTTGCGCTGACAAAAATTATTCAACTACAACGAAACGTTACAGAAATAAATATATCTGTGTTAGCGTGCAGCAATACTCTTGAATTAGTTGGGATCGCTGTTTTGAACTTACCGATAGGCCATCGTTCTGGTACAGCTTGATACGTCATTTGGCTTTAAACATTAGTTTATCGCAAACGCAAGAAATTCATCTTTATTTCTATGTGCGTAGATGTCACTTTTGGAGTTATTTCCGGTAGAGGCAGGCCAGAGAGATCCCAGACAACGTCAGATTCCATTCCTACCTGGCAAATTATTATTTCGACGTTCGAACACCAGAGAAGTTGCATTGAAGAGGCTCAGACCCATTGCAGAATATTGTATTGTAAGTACAATAGGTGGTAATCTCGTGGTGATTCATCTTAATTGCTGTACTTGAGTGTGTGGGTAGCGATTCTTAATAGTGGAATTGATGATTTGAAACCTGGTAACATATGATGTTCTTTGATGAAATCATTTGAACTTTTCCAAGCTTTTACTTGGCCAGTGCGTATCTGTAATATTTAAGCAAACTCGATGACTTATAATCTCTAGATAGCGAACGTCACGAATAAAAATTATGACGCGGAAGTGAGTATGAGCTTACACATTACCCAAACAACAACTGCGAGTGCTAGAAATCTGTAGAAAAATGGTTATAACGAAAGTGAAATGCCCAAATGCGCAAACGCCACATGGTGCGCAATTTTTAATTTTTGATGACGTCATCAAAACTTCAAAGAGAAAAAGTTCACAAAAATTTTGGAAATAAAAAAGTAATAACTTTCTAGCGACAACAACACACTTTAACCACTGACAATTTCAAAGCAATTGATCCTGTATTTGAAGAGAAAATAATCTATTTTTTTATGACCAGAAGAAGAAAAAGAATAGGAAAAAGATCAACACATAATAACATAGCGATCCATAAGGACACATGTGTTCAATAAATCACAAATATTTTTACAGGGAATTTCAAAACTGCCCAAACACATTTCTGAAAGCGAAGTTGTAGTGGAGTTCTTCACACCAACCGAAGAAGACAAATCCACTATAAGAAGAACAAGGTAAACCGCGATCATTTATAAGTAAAGGATTAGTGTCCTTAACATTGATTAGGCGGGAATGAATCTTACCAAATCTGTATATCTACGTTATATGGTGAGTGATGATTACGTTAGAACACAATGTTCAATTTTTTGACTATACAAACTATTACAGTACATTACAACAGCTATCTATAATCAGAGATTGAATTCAAAATTTGAGAACAGCTTCTCTTTTGTATCGAACTCACTAACAACAGGTTGTCTCCTAAAAAAAAACATGCCGAGCTGATAGGCCTGGAAACAAGGAAAGTTTCGCTGACAAAGGACCCGTATGACCAACTGAATACAGCCATCGGTTATAACTTGCAATATCTCACTTCGTAATCGCTATAACCGCTCCAGGTTGATTTGTCACACACATATATATTTATTTAATAATATGATTGCTAGAAATATTAGGATATTTGAAAGTTGACATATATATTAATTTTATTCCAGTGTTTCACCAGAGAAACAGTCAGGTATGTTTATGTATTTTATGCCTGATTTACTCGGATTTCAAAATATTTTTCTTTGTTAACTTAGTGTGAACTAATTTAATATTTCCATTCAATTTAATTTTCGGTTCTGGATTATATTAACAGAATGATGCCTGATCCATAGAGGTTCATCCATCCGTAGTTTATCGTGTTGTTGTTGTATATATTATATATATTGGTTTTATATCTCAGGCGTGAAGACAGCAAATGAAATCACCGGACCTGTAACTTTTGACAAATATATTGCAATCGCTGAATACACAAAAGAAAACAAGAAAGAACTAAGCTTGAAAGAAGGACAAGTTGTCGAAGTTGTGGAAAAACACGAAAATGGTGAGGATTAAATTTCCCGTGATAGTCTGTAAGATATATATGTGAGGTCCTATGAGGTCCTTATGTACAATGATAAGCTATATTCCAACGAAAAGCACAATAGGTGAAATAAATCCGATTTTTTTAATTCTTTATATTCAAGGATGTAGTCGTATGAGATCGTCATGATTACGACAACCTTGTTATTCGCTAGTCCGACTCCAGTCGAGCTAATGCAAGTTAGAAGCTTCAATTTTTGAATACTTGCATATTGGTAGTGTGGGATACGATTTCAATAAAATGTAGTTGCGCTAAAGTAGTGAACATAAGGTAACATTAAAACTTCACAGAAACACAACAACTGTAAAAGCAATATTAAATCCCGAAGAAAGCGTTGCCACAATTTCCCACAATTTGTTGCATTTATCGTAGGTTATTCGAGACCTTTGTCCCTTCTATTAACAACAAAATCCTTTTTTAATTTTCACAGGATGGTGGTTAGCAGCAAACGAGGAAGGCATGAGCGGTTGGGTTCCTGGAGTTTATCTGGAATCATTATACGGAGAGACGGCGGTTCAATCAAGCAAGAGATTGAAACCAGGATCAGGTGAGAATTACAATATCAGAATTACTTTTGTGACTAACATGCAACGCAAGTTATATTTAAACAAATTTGCCATATAATTCTATATATATTTGTAACTGTTTACTGATAACTCCTCAAAAGTTTTAACATCGCATAAAAATGTGTAGGAATTTTTTAATTGCTTACACTCAGTGTTGTCTCACCAGGTGAGATGTATGAAGCCATCACAGATTTCAAAGCAAGTAGTTCTGATGAAATGAGTTTCAACTACAGTGACGTCGTTGAGGTTCTAGAGAAAAATTTAGAAGGATGGTGGTATGCGAGGTGTGATGTTTTGTTTATTTTCGTTTGGACTGATTAACTTCAAGAAATATACAGGGTTGTCGCTAGATCAACAGAAAATTTGTCAAATAGCTATTTATTTTTACAAATTATGATTTGAAAACGAGCTTGGGGAAATCTTGTAACGATAACCCACAAGTTCACCTTCGAAACGCTACAGAGCTTGGACTTCTATTAAGACACTGCTAGAAAGTGCACAGACGACATTTATTTATGAGTGTAATATAACATATGCCCTCAAAAAACTTTGTGAAAGTTGTTCCTAAAAAAATAAAAATTTCCTGTTTCTCTGACGACCTATATATTCACTATTTGGCTAAAACTTCGTCGTCCAAACTCCATCTTCCGTGATTGTCCAATCTATTTTACCATAGTACGATTCTTATTTGCATTGAAAGCGTAATTTAACGTCCCATTTGGCAACAATAAATTGCTCTCATACTCAAATCATTGCGAACAAGTACTTCATTGTTGTTTTTTTCATATTGATTGGTGATTTATAATTGAAGATTAAATGCAGTTTTTTAATGAAATTATAAATATCAGGCGGGACGATGCAGAGGGATGGGTTCCAGCAACATATCTTGAAAAATCCAATGCAACAACAACAACGAAATATACACCTACTCGTGTGAGACCAGGTAAACATCACAATTCAAATCAGTGGTGCCCAACACTCTTCTATATATTCCTTCCCTTCGCCTGAATGGGATTTCTTTATTTCTCCCTCAATATCTAAAATGCTCTGTTTCCGTTTTTTGTTCAACTTTTAAACGATTTCTAGCTGATGGTATGCTCAAGTAGCAGTTAGCACTCTAACTTTTGTATAGACTATAATGTGTTCATAAATGTGTGTTGCAATAATACTAGATAACTATACAGTCTTAGTAAAGCTACACCGAGTACACAATAATTCAGTACTATCATGCCGATATAACCTAACGCCGCCATGGGAAGGAATTCCTCTCCAGTTGGGAATGTTTGATTTAAGCGAATGTTTCTTAATTTTAATTCTTACCTGTTTCTCCATGTACTATATCACTTATACTGAATATTTTTAAAATCCAAATACAGCTCTGAAATTGCTATTAAAAGAATGTGTTTGTTTTTAGGTTTTGATGCAAAAGCTAAGTGGCGAAAAAGCATCGAGAAAGCGAAAAAACCTCCTCCAAAAAGACAAACAGTCAGGAGAACGCTGACACAAGCAGCCGCAGCAAGAGTGCAGGTAATACAGTGGTGCATTCAAGGACGCAAATCAGCCCTTGGGATGTCGTGGTAATCAGCGAACCAGTTCTTGTTTTTCGTTCTAGATGTTTGATGACCACAGTAAATAGGTTACGCGCATCGAAGCCTTTACCTAGTACCAATTGTTAAATTTGACGTTGCCAAAGTCATGTATTGCATTCATGTAAAGTCAAGTCATGTTAATGTAGCTTACGTAGTGATATATTTTCTGAAACGAGAAAACACGTTGTCAGTGAGTTCGATACAGAAGAGAACCTTTTTTTTAGTTTCAATACCCATCACTGGTAATAACATGCTATTATAGGATATTTATCTAAACACCTTTTTCATAGTTCCAAGTTGGCTGTTACTCTGAATACATTCTGTTTTTAAGACATAAGCGGGCAGATCGAAATGCGACTCGAACGACTTAGAGCCACTCAGATATTGGCAGGGTTAGAAAGATAATTGCATTGACAACCGGAATATACATACAGGTGTATATATGGGTATGCTTCATTGCCTTTGCCAAAGTTCTTCTCAAGCATCAGCACATTTTGAACATACCTTTTTATTTCGATACCCATCTCAAGATTTTAATTAATAACTTTTAAACCAGGCATCTAATAACTAGGTTCACAGAACCTTCGATTCAAAGATAGTTATCTTCTTGGTCGGCATACATTACACGACAATTTATCACGTGAGCTGATCTCTAAACTGAACGCTTTAATATTTAGATCAACGATACCTTCGCTAAACCAACGATTCTTTTTTATTTTCGATTTTCCATTTCACAGAACGATTTTACCGCAAAGATGATAAAACAAGAATCTATAATAGAAGAAGATGATGAAGAAGAATTTGCTGGAATTTATAAAACAATCGCATCGTTTGATTCAACAATTCCAGATGGGATCAGTTTTGATAAAGAACAAACAGTTTATGTAAGAATAAATGACATGCTCAGCGATAGGATGGGATTTACATATTTATCCTGGGGGTCTGGGCGATAAGACGTCTTAATAATATGGCGAACCATGGCATCTAGTCCGGTTACATTCCACGTTGGTTATTTGTTTTCGGAAGCATAGACTCGGTAGTGGAGGAAGCCGTAAACGACCACGGGTTACGTGAACCACCGCCCTACGGTGTCGAAGAGTACAACAATCCTTTCGCACATAACTATCCTCGCATGGGATTCGAACCTGCAAACCCACGCGGGATAATCAGAAGTACAGTGGAACGTATTCCTCTAACGCTAAGCACGATGCGCCAAACCGCCGAGCCAATCATGGATAACCTGGATTATTAGAAGTTATGTACAAAGCGAAGTGAATTTCGCAGTACCCGTAAATTGCTCTAAAATTAAATTCTGCACGACTGCGTCCGTGTTGGTCAATTATTCTCATAGCCATCGCTCAAGCTATTGTCTATACAGCTTGTTTTTATACAAGACACATGGAATGAGGTCTTTTTTGCTGGCCATTTGTCATTGACGGAGTATCTTTTTTGAGAGGCTTTGTTGCCTATGTTTGCAACCCTGTGAAAAATTAATTAATGAATTAAATTAATGAATCCTCAAATTAGAGAGCAACGCTTTTTTTAATCAAAGCAGGGAATAATTACGTTATTTTTAACATCGGAAAAAATAGTGTTAAAAGGGCCTACATCCATTTCTTGCATCCAGCCTAGTGAAGCTGTAATTTAACATATAGAATTGAGTATAAAAATGAATGTCGCTGATATTTAAAGTACAACCGGTGTTAGCAAAACGATGTAGTTTGCCGACTAATACCGATTGTTCTTTATGTTTCGTCGACATGAATATACATATTATGGTGACATAATGGCATATAAGTTAATGGTGAACATCGTTACATTAAAATATTATATACAGGTAACGCAGAAATCTTGAGCTGGTTGGTGGTACGGTAGAATTGGAGACGAACGAGGCTGGGTTCCAGAAACTTATCTCATCCAGAAAACACCAGAACAAAGCCCTAAGCCTCGGCCACCGAGGCCTCCCGCGCCAAAAGCTGGAAACGGCTCAAAAAATGGAAGCGGTCAGAAATCAACCACAAAACCTAACGGAAAACTTATCCCTCTTACAAAGTTTGAAGACGTTGTGAGCGAAGTCTTTAGGTAAGTTACAACAAAAACTTATTAATTACCAATTAATCAGTGGGCATATAGTTCAACTGAATATGTTATTAATGTTTAATTATTAATGTTTGGTTTACTATGAGCAAAGATGTTATAAGCCAGGGTTTCCTATACTTTCTGTTCATCGGCACCCTTGGGACAATTTATAAATTTACTTGTGTACCTCCAAATCAGCTGTTTTGTCTTACGTGCTGTAATCGGACAAAAAAAGTCATGTAAATTGAAAAACTAGGTAACGGTAGATACTGTAATTGTGTTAATAGCGTCTATTGGGTTGAAAATTTAACTTCCTATAGGGAGTTCTTAAACTCGGTTTTCCAAATCATTAATATCAGGTGAAAAAAAATATTTGAGATCGATTAAAAACATTGGAACAAATTCCCTTGTCCTCTATCCAATGTCCCCCCTTGAAAAGTGAAAATGTACTTCTGGTGGTAAATGTACCCCAGCTTGGAACTTCTGGTATAAATAGATAGGTATACTTTCACAGGTATAGATGCTATACTGCCGACATGGCAAACTTTTCTATACTCGTTATATTATTTTAGTAACATATTTTATTTCATTGCATATATGTGGTCTGATAGCAAAGCAGAATGGAAAAGAAAAGAATCGCCTCTACCACCAAAACCTACGTCACCGAGAAATAGTCCGTTGCCAGAACCAAAAAGTTAGTAGAAAAGTAGTTGTGAGTAACTTGCTGACTTTAAAATAACTTTGTTCGTTCGCGATTGTCGCTATCACAAAAAGCCTTTGACCCGGATTAGAGAGCAATCTACCTGGTATTGTATCTACTGTGGTAAATTACTGATACTGTGTGAAATAATAAAGTATGTCTATATATTCGATTACGATAATGTGTGGCTATCATCAGCGCAATGTAGGTCACAACAATTGAAAACCGACTACATGCTCATAAAAATCGTTGCGATAGTATGATTGATTGTGTCACAGTTGATGTTTTGCTACTGTGTGTAAATAAGTCAAAAGACTCAAAGATTCCGGATTGGTTGTTTATTGTAGAGCTCTACATTTAAACGCTTATCACAACAATAATGAGCAAACACAACACAATAGCAGCCTTTCCTGACGAGAAGAGAACGAAAACCATTTTATCTCACCACTAGGGGGTGGTTGGAGTCCAGACCCGGCCTAAATCAAGGATCTGGGAAATAGCATACAGAGAAATATGAAAAGATATTAACACAACACAAACACGGACATCCGTGACAGTTGCAAGTTCTTATACTACAGTTATAGATACTTCCTTATATTTTAAATTTAGCGTGATAGATGACTATAGATTAGACTTGGGCAAAGTATGGCCCGCGGGCCAAATCCGGCCCGTTGGGTTATTCAATCTTGCCCCCCTGATGCTGCCACATCCAAACTGTAATCAAATTTTGATGTTTAGCTAAAAATAGCTCAAGGAGTTTGTTACGATTGCGGTTAAATTTAGTTTTGGCACGAGGCATATTGTTTTCCACCTTTGCTTTGTAACATTGTAAATATTGTTCATAAAATGTAACTTTTTTCTTCACACTGACATGGCCCGCCAGTCTAGGTGGGCAAAATTTTTGGTTCAAAAACCTTGACCACAACTTCTATAGATTCACTGTCATCGTCGACGAGAAAACTCTCACCCGCGATGGCGGCATATGTATCTTCAACTGCGTACTCGATATTGTAAGAAGAAAGCTCAAAATCAATGACTACAGGCATAACACTCGTGCTCTAGTCTGTAGTGAATTAGTTTTGTTTTTTTGGATGGACATAAAAAGTGAAGTATGGTTCACTATGCGACCAGGTTGACGGGGCCCTGGTCACCCATTGTCACCTTTTCGAATAATTATACAATATCGTAATCCCTAATTGTTCGTTTCCTTTTGTTTAGAAATAGATCTGAGTGTCTACGACTGGTACAGAGATGTATCAAGACAGGAGGCGGAAGGTGCGCTGGTTTGCGAAGGACAGGTCAATTACAGTTTTTTTACATATTTTTTTTGTTAGGTGTTTCGTTTAGCCATCTTTTCGTTCGCTTCAATATTGATGTAGGAAGGACGCTTCACCCAGTGGAAGCGAAACAAAAGAGTAGCAGTTGTTGATTGTTTAGATTGCTTTTATTTCAATAAACTATTCTTCATTCATAAAATTTATTTTCGAGTATTGAAATTCCATTTTTCATATAATATAAACCCATTGCATTCACAAGACATTATGAAATATGACTTTTGTTTCATTTGTAACATCAGTAAAAATAATTCTACAAAATGATTAAGCTAATACTACAAGTTTAAAACATTTCAAAGAAAATACATTGTTTGTAATCTCTTATTAGGAAAGACAAGTGCTTTACATCTCAAAACTGTTCAAGTTTGAATGAGAAAACTACACAAACACATAAAACACTGTTCTAACTTCATTTAGAAATAATGATATTGAATTATTCTTGTTGTATTTTTTTTTAATTTACTAATTAAATCGACCTATCTCCGACTTTATAGGAAGGATATTTCATTATACGGCCAAGCCAACGTGGAGCTACTCAAGGAAAGCCTTATTCACTTACACTATTTCATCAAGGAATAGTTTGGAATTTTCACATTAGATTTCGCGCAGATCAAAAGTATGCTCTCGGCGTTTACAAAGATTCAGAACCTTGTTTTTCTCGGTTGCCAGATTTAGTTGAATATTATCAACAGAATCCAATGTTAATCGGAGAGGAAGAACGAAAAGTGAAACTCGTTGATACTCCACAAGAACTTTATGCTATCTGTTAAATGCGAAGTTGTTTCAAACAAAAGTAACTAGATATACTTTCACTCTCTCTCTCTCCTTCGATCTATCTCTCGCTCTCTCACTCACACCCTTTCTTAACCTATCTATTTTATATCCGCACATCTTTTACTTTATTGCATGTATATCATGAACGTTGGACGCCGATATTTGATTTACATTATCGTTATTTCGAATCGTGTCTGTTTTTATACTTGTGAACTGCTCGTACGTTTTGGATGAATTTAATTGCTATTAAACGTCAATAAAATAATTATCAACCTGTGCTATTGATTTGGTTTCTGCCGAGCAAACTACTCATCCTTCTTCTATTCTTTTTTACTGGAATAGTCGTAACCACATAATACAAGGATGCTGTAGCAAGACTGAAGATAACTATTCTGAATCGCTTAAAATAAATGTCATTCAGCATTTTTTATTTTTTTTTAAATCCATTCTCTATCCGTATATTTTGTACAAAACAGACAGTAGAAATGAATCCAATATTTCAATATAACAACACGGTAACAAATACAGCTAAGTTAAATACACCCAAATTATTTTGGTTTTAAATTAAGTTTACTTGAAGCAAGACAGTTAATCAGCAATTACGCTCATCTTGCACAAAAATGAATGCAGAAAACTGAAAAGCACATCAGCCTTTATGTCATAGATTCTAACATCGAAGTTTTTGTTGGAAGATTGACCAATTGCGACGTTCTGGGTCGGGAATTAAAGCCGTTATTTTACAGATCATATTGAGAGCCGTCCCAGCATCCTTCACACCAAACTTCACTGCCATATAAACGACACAAATCTGTATTTTAGGGTTTGAAGCAGGCAGGAGCGATACAATGATGTTGATGACTTTATTCATGTTTCCAAAGATCTGATCTGTTCGCGTGTGATGATCTAGATATTCGTAAGCATCCTCGATTTTTCCATCATCTACTAAGTCGGCTGTAAATTCCGCAATGTCGCACACAAACTTGCTCAAATCTTAAAAAAAAGTGGGAAATTAATCTTCAAGTTGTCTGAAAGCCTTGAGCTCTCAACTGAGAGTGAAACACTAACGCTTAACAAGATGGCAGAAAAAGCATTAACACGCCAGCGATTACGTGAACCACCCTACTACGTGATGGAGAGTCCAGCAATGATTTCGGACATTGTTAAGCCTCACAGGATTCGAACCCACACAAGACAATCAAAGGGTGATGACAAGCGTATTACTAACCTTTGTAGCATACGACCCAACGTAACGCGCTAAGGGCAATATATCGGTTTATGCTTGTGAATAACGAAATTTGCACCTATAAAATTTAACTACCTGAATAATGACATTAATATTTATTGCACCGAGGACAACACTGATTAAACAATCAGCGTCATGCGCGTTTTTGTATCATTGCAGCGAGCGCTTTATTTTTGTTGACGTGGTTCGAGCTGAAAAATGCTCTTTCTGCGGTCCAAACATCAGTTTTTAGAAAGTTTATAATTACCGGTATATCAAATTCGGTGAATAATTTGGGGTGGTAATGTGACTTCGATGCCATTCCAATGAAATGGAAATCAAATAAAATACAATGTTTCCTCGCATAAAAGACCAGCATCAAGTATTATCGGTATCGAAGATAGTAAAATTTATCAGTACTTTCCTCATAGAAAATAAAAACCTTGCCTAAATATAATACTAAACCTGGATACAAATTTGTCTGAAGAGGCACCAATACAGACTTACTCTAGGAATAGGATGTTACTGCCAGTTTACCGAGATACATACACAAAGCTGAAAGAATAGCTTCTACATCCAATACTAATTGAACGTTTCTTTTTTCTTTATCAAGAACAGGTACTCCCGTAGTATGTGTACCATGGTTAGGGCATAAATTATTCCGATTTTCCTTATTCTATTTGTATTGCGAGTTTGGGGATTGTATTTGTTAGTTAAGTGAATATACATACCCCTGCCCATAGGATTCCGTCCTTTTACGCAACGCGATGTAAATCAGGCGAACAAAATTAGGTACCTCCATATTGGTGCAAATACTTCTGGAGCGCCCAAAAACAAATAAAGAAACAGAAGGTATTTTGATTCGAATTTTACATCGGATGGCGAGGCTCGCATACAATCGCACTCCAGAAAATTATTGTTCAGAAATTTAGGCTCATAGCAATGTTATGTGCTTTCATCTGAATTTCAACCAAATCCTGTTTATTTTGTTAGGACTTGTATTTGTATAAAACCAGCTGATATTAGTAACGTTTTACACCTTTGCAAACAATGAATCTTGGAATATTTTAATACTCCTGCTTGATATGGCACATGTGATAAATCATTATGTAACACCGTAATAACCAAGGCGATTCATATTCATGTGGACGCAATCAAATAGTTCTTATAAAATCATACAAATGTTAAGTAACCCTTGCTGTTCATTGAAAGCTGTGCAGACCTTATCAAAGTTTTCCCATCATAACCTTCATGATTTCGCACAATATGAAAACCAAAAACCTGTAAATTAGAGTCATTGTAACTTGTGAATATGGCATATCGCGCTAAATTATGTTGGCAGTGCCTTCAAAGTTATCGGGTTCCATACTAATTATCGACGTGCGAACTTTTACAGAATGGATAATCCGTTTTTGATTGAGCCATTCGTCCGCGATATGGTTATATGTGAAGTTAATTTAAACTAGGATGTGAAAAACATCGCGGGGTGTGCAGCGTCTCACTAGTTTAATGTTCGCCTCGATAATTTTTTATAATAAGCTTTCTGGCTTGACAGAGTGCCGTTGACCTGAAGTGTTGCATATGAAATAATTATCATTTGTACGTATGTTAATACTAGATAATGCAATTGGTATGACATTTAATACTTCTGTATGCTCTCTAAATATAAAATATTTAGGCATTATTTATAGCGTATGAAAGAAATACTCTACTAACTGAATTTTTCTAAAATAAAATTTGCCAGAAAAAAAAAACTAATCCCGTATTTAGTAATACCTAATATGTCATACTTTTCTACTTGCATAATTTATTCACCTCTCCCACGCAAATACTACATTATGATTCAATAATGATCACTAAACGGACATAAACAATATAGATATATAGATACTCACCCAAATCTTGCGACATATTTGATATTTATGTCGATACATTGACCAGAAATAATTCCAGTGCTATGCTTTCTTCATTCTACCTCCAATAATTATTTATTTGCTGGACTATCCGAAGCTATGTGTGTCACGTGAATAATATTTGAACATTTGATTTTGTCGACCCAATTTTAATCATTTATGAACAAAACGAATAGATTTTATGTTTGGTTGACACTTGTCCGAATAATATCTCTGGTAATTAATACGGGTTACACAACCATATGGATATGGAATGTCGTCGTATTTTTTGGTATTGTGTCAAGCTGCCCGGCCACAGCTTGCAGCTTTTATTTGTATCACCTATCACCAATACCGAATGAACATTGGAAAGCCACCTAAAAACATTTGGTTAACGTAATAAAACATGATGCGCACGAGGGTGAAAAAGAAAAAGGCTCAAAAGCATTATGGTGTAAGCAAAATGGGCATCTGCACTTCAGACTATGCGTGCAACCCGAGAGTAAATTCATTGTTGTTTTATGTTCGCAATGATATTAATAGCAAAACTCGTTTTCACCTCAATAATGAGCAACACATATATTCACTTCTAAATCGAAGTAGTTGATTTATGTTATATCAAGGTATTTTTAGCGCGAATACGCTTTTTCACATTGTTTGCTAACCCGTTCGCGTTCTTTAATAAAAGAATCACCAATTACAGGGCCTTAGCTTAATTTCGTGACACCCAATCAGATACAGTCAAAGATAACAGTTAGCACTATAGATTTTAAGCTATACTTATGTTATGCATATGTTAATTTCTGGTCTGATGGAATCTTGGAACAAATTGCTACGATTGAAATTATTAGCTAAATAATCGGTATTACCCAGGATATATATACGCTAAACGTTTAATTGCTTGTGAAGTATTCGGAGCAGCTGTGGTAATAAAGAAATAAGCGAAAATTATTAATTTTTTTTTGAGAATTTTGCTCGATTCGACTCTGTAATCTCAAATCTGTAATATCACATGAAATGCAACAAAAACTTATGGATTACGAGCACGTTATGAATCCTCAATTTGACCAGCATGGCTGCTTGTTTGGAAGACGCTTTTAGCGAAAAATCGATTAAGCATTTTTGAGTGTTGTGTTGCAACTAATAATATAGGGTGTTAATAATGTCTTAGAAATTTTTAAAATTGCGAAGTGAATTTATCGATACCATATATTTTTTTGACCTCACAGATGTATTAAATGAGGTAAAAATACTTAAACAACTACTGATTAAACAAAACAAAAAACTTGTTAAGATATATTGAGAACTGACTTCACAACAAAATTGAAATTTTGAAGGGATTTCATGGACACCTGTATATCGGAGTTTTTCAATATTGATTCATTCACTAACCAATGTTAATGCATATTTTATCACAACTACCCAAATATCTATTTCCGTTATAAGCTACAGCAGGCAATGCAAAAGTCAACGTACATGTATTTTTACCGAGCTCGTGCACGATTTCAAGACATCGAATTACCGTCACGAACTGTTGTCACGGCCCAAACAAAAACTTTTTGCAACACAAAGAAACGTTTGGCATTCACTGTTCTTCAAAGTTTAAATTTTTCATATCAGGTGACAAAAAGGTATCTGAAATAAATTGTATAAAGCGGGAAGATTTGAGAAAAAATAAAATGTAGCGAAGAGAGGTTACGTAAATGATAGTTGAATACAATTTAACCATGATTGTTTTGTTTATAATCCATCCACCGAATATATATACATATAAAGGGTGTCCATAAAGTCTTAAATTTGTGAAAATTGCAAAGGAATTTTTCGATATCATATATTTTTTTGGCCGTCAAAGATGTATTAAATGAAGTAAAAATAGCTGTACAATTACTGATTCAAAACAACAAACTTGGTAAAAATATATTGAGGACTGACTTCCTAACAAAGTTGAAATTGTGAAGGGACTTCATGGACTATGCGCATATTCGTAGAAAAGGGTCATTATACTTTATGTATCAACATTTTTCACTATGCGTTGGCATAAGATATACTTATTCCTTTTGTGTTAGTTTGCTGTAAGTATGGACGAAATATGAATAAAAGTGAGTTACTAATACAGTATGTTATTGGCCAATCAGCGCTGAAGGTGGAACAAAGCATTTTTAAAAATACTTTCTCGTTAAGACCTGAAAATGAACATCGACTAATGGAAGCCAAGTTTGCAACGAAGCTAATATAATCAGCAAAATAAATTTCTTTGACATTAAAAAGCGTAATTTCCCTATTTATCACCATAAAGTTGATATATTATTTTCGCGTATTGATCCCTGCATTAAGAATGTTTTAAATGACCAATGCAATAAGCATTGACCTTCAAATTTGTCAGAATAGCCAAGGTTATTGCAGTTTGAGGTGGAAGGTTTTTGTTTATTACCGAATTTTCACTGAGAAATTAATCGATTTAGACTTATGAAATAACATGGAAGCGGACTTTACACTATAGATGTATATGTAGTACCATAATGCGTTAAACGTTATGTACATGTTTCGTTTTTCTGCACTGGTCGTTAAATTACTCGAGTAAGTATTAGGATTTTTGCAGTATTTTGAGTAGTGTGAAGCTTCTCAAAATTGGTCTTTGCGTTTAATATCTCTGTTGCGTTCACGGTGTTGGAAAAACCTTTTACTTTGAGTCAGTGACAGCAGAACACGCGTGCAACACGGTGCACGTTTTTTTTTAGTTCTAAAAAAGAGAAGCACTGCATGTTTCTAGTTTTTGTTTATTTTCGTAACAATGACAAAACAAATATAATGTCAAAGTTGCTGTAATAATTGGAACTTAGCCAACCATTCATAGTCACAGGCATGTTCGCTTCTGTAATTTTGACTGCCATTTGTTAATTAGTATTAGCTATATTTCAAACAATTAAGTATAAGTCAATGTATTTCGATTTAGTCACGATCCCAAAACCCGGAATAGACCAGGACTAACCAAGATCCCAGTTCCATTTTGAAACAATATAGAAACTTTCAAGACGTACACAAATTTGCATAACTCAGCTTGCAATAACACTATTAAAAAATAGTCGCAATGGTTTAAAATAAGAAAAATATTTCTGGAGTCGATTGTGAAGAAACATCCATTGCGTTTCAAAAATATTCTTATCTAACCAAATACAAAGTCCTCAGTATCCGTGTTTAGCGAAAATCTTATCCGTCTGGAGTTAGAGACATTTTATTCTGAAAGCTTCCGTTAGGTGAAATTCAATACTAGTTCGAATGTCACTAACTTCTCAGTAGGTTGCAGCATGTATTAATGAAGAAATTAAATATGGCGTTTGTTCAACAACTAATTATCAGATAAACAATTTTCCTCTCTTCTATTTTCAACAATAATCCAGTACTTTGAACTGGTTTTCTAGTCTACGCGTGACGGGAAAGCGTATAGGTTGTTTTATGGCCAATTACGTGTAATTCTGAGTTGTATTTCTTTACATTGTTTCTGGAGAAACGGCGTCTGAAAATAATCTAACTTGGCAAAGCCGTTTCAGTCTTCCGAATGTTAGCGTTTCTATGTTTCGTAACGTCTCAAAAAATATAACAAACACACAAGAATGGATCTTTTAAAAAAAAATTCTGTCAATTTTAGAGCACGATTACACTACACGACATTTTTAACCTTGTCTCGCTAACCAGTCCCTGTTGCAATATTTTGATAAAATATTGGATTTCATTTGTGCAACTGTCACTCTTTCCTTGTCTAGGGTTTTTCCTTAAAGTATGGATGCATGAAGTGTTTTTTACATCAGGTGCAGGGTGATGAATAACTTGAGAGATATGTCCGAAGATAAAATGATGAATATATTTTATACATGAATGGGTTTCGCATGTCGCTGTGATTGCACAAGGTACATGTATTAAATGTGTTGATGGAACTTTATAAAACACTGATTAACATGAAACAATCCACATTGCGTCGTCTCATCATTTCAATTTGTAGTCATTTTTCAAATTGTAAATAGACTGTATGGACACCCTATACCACACACTGGTTATAGCGATAATGTTAGACGTACCCGTTAAGCAATGGTGAACTCGCCGCTCCATAAGTATGTGCACCAAGATGACGCACAACCTGAACCCAAACCTTGTACTTATACTATGTTCATTTTGTGCGCCATCTTGCTGAACATACTTCTGGAGGTCCGAAAACTCGGCATATCTAAATGACAGCTTGACTGAATATGTTTGAAGGAAAATGTGCAGAGGGAGATTCATCAAAATTCAATTTAATTGGCATTGTTTCGTTTCTCATGATCTGTCTACTCCGTGTCGAACGTTTAACTGTTTTCTTTCATTGTTTAATATCGTTATATGTCGTTATTTACTGTTAAGAACAGAAAATTGATCACGCACCTAGACAGTCAAAATACGCGCCACTTGCAATATCAGCTTACATTAATGTTATGGTACGATGGCGAATGTATCAGTCGAGTCGATTTATAATGCAATAGATAGAAGCAGGATTTTATTCAAGAAGTAAATGAAAAGGCCGTTAAACTATCCCAAGCAGATGATAACGTACTGCGTAAGGCTGTTAATAACAGACAGCCAGAGTTGTGAACTTGTATCACATAATTAATTGAACTTAGCTATTCTACGGTTTGCAAGTTACTGGTAGTGTCAGTATGCTAACGAATTGTATAATCTGCACTGATAGGATCTGATTTAAAATGGTCTTCAAACATAATTTCTATAATATCCCTAGAAAAGGCTATCGGGGTACCATATATCTCCACCTATTAAAGTTTCTATATTTATAAATTAAAAAACGTTTATTACCCACAACTGTGTATCTAATATTGAGGTTTATTGGTCCTTAAATAATATTTCTATAATCTCCCTCAAAAAGGTCTATTAGGCTATACCTAGTATACACAATACTTCCACTTTTTAGATTTATAAATTGCAGTTAATTTGGATTACCAAAAGCAGCAAATCTAGACATGTCAGCGCCTAGTGGTATACTGAGTAGCGGCCATTTGGTACCTGTACTGGGATTCGCCACTAGAAACGTAAGTATTTATTTAATATGTTCACCACAATATTGCCTTATTTAATTACTTTTCATATAAATTCTTCGATTGTAATGGCCGACATTCAAACTTGGAGTCTATATGGCTCGTAAATGTACGCCTGGTGGCGTTGCTGTGTGGTTGGTAATTTAAATGGAATTTTCCCGGTTCGGTTTGCAGTCAACGTCAGGATTAGTTAGGGTTAGCGACGTTAGCGACGAAGAACTAATACACGAAAAATAACCGCTGAGTTAGACCGTAATTTGTTTTAAATGCATACAATCAATATGCATGGATCAAATAAAGACATAAATATATCGTAACACAACATAAAGCATGTTGTTGAACATTATTCGCTGTCACTTATTTGCAGCTCTTTGGAGAATTTGAAAGCTTATACCAAATATAAATATATAAAGACTTCTGCCAGGTTTATTACGTTTTTGGTGAATTTTGCATGTTCTAGCTTGATAAATGACAAATACTGATCAATGTGTTTCCACAATAAAAGTGTTTATTTTGTATTGAACTGTTCACCTATATTTGGCACTATTGTGACCCGCGAACAATGCAAAAATAATTTTGTGACCCCCGGATCCGCCAACGTTTGACCACCCTGGCATAAAATCAATATGCATGGATCAAGTAATAACATAAATATATCGTAACACAATATAAAAGATATTGTTGAACATTATTTAACGACGCTTATTTTCAGCTCTTTGGAGAAAACGCCGATAATGCTATTCTTACTGCAATACATTCTGGTTGTCGGCACATTGACACCTCGACAATGAATGAAAATGAAATTGATGTTGGAAAGTCTCTCCAGAGAATATATCGCAATGAAAATATAAAAAGAGAAGATTTGTTTATTTCTAGTAAGGTAAGGAAAACGCATTATCAGCTTCATTTTTATAATATGTCCATGTATTATAATAAAAAATAAACAACATCAGTAAAACGTTAATCCCGTAGTATATGTACTAGGTTAGGGTAAGGTCATAATTTTATTCCGATTTCCCTTATTTCAGTTTTACCCCTTGCCCATTGGTTTCAGTCCCTTTACAAAACTTGATGTAAAAATGGCGAACAAAATTAGTTACCTTAATATTAGTACACACAATTCTGGAGGGCCGTTAGTCGCGCTTCGTGAGGGTGCAACGTTTCATCTTTGTTATTGCAAGCATTTTATTCTTTTTTCCCTTTCTTGTGATAAATTTTAATATTTGACATTTGTACCCAGTATTCTCCTGGTCACCTCAACTCAAACAATGTGCGGAGTGACGTCAGAAAAACACTGTCAAATCTGAAAACCGACTACTTGGATTTATGTCTTTTACAAAGTGCCAGCAGCATTGCGGTATATATGCCAACAAATATTTTTAAATCTAATCCAGTGGTTCTCAAACGTGGGGCGCGCCCCACAAAGAGGACGTAGACACTTTTTGAGGGGGCGTGAAGCTAATTAAAGATAAAAATATTTGTTAATTCGATTTTGCCAGCCTTTGAGATATTAACTTTCCAAACCTTTTTTTATTTATTTCCTTATTTACGTTCCATCCACGTATTTTCAACGAATTTTTTAATAAAACATACTTTCGCCTATCTGTTATATTTGTAGCTTGTTGTAATGTAAGTTACTTTGTTGCGAGGTGGGGCGCGAGGCTTGACAAATTCTAAAAAGGGGGCGCATAGAGTTTGTGAACCACTGATCTAGTCAATGTCATTGCGTCGAATATTATAAATTTGAGTACAATTATACAACTACAATTCTTTTCGTATGCGCATTGTCTCATCGGCGGCGGTATTGTTTATCAAAATAATCCCAGTCTATATTTTCCTGATGTGTCGATTAAGTTGCTGTGTAACTAACAGTAGAGCCGAAAATTATTCTTTCACCCTACAAAAATCTTTACAGCTTAGTATGAATAGTATTTTTAAATCTATAGAATGTCAATATTAAAGAGTTTTTTTATATTAATTTGATTTGAACAAAATACAAATCTTAGTTCTAAAAATGACGGCTAACTACTACTATAATTAATTCAATCTAAAGAGTATTCTTAATATATTAATTGTGAAATATCAAAATGTATTTTTGCATTTAATATCTCGTGATTTTTCCAGGCTTCGAAAGGTTTATCCCACACACAAACAATTGATTTTGCAAGGGAATACGATTACATACGAATGTGGAAAGTAAAAGCCTTTTATTTATTTGTTGTACTTCTATGGTCAAACAAAATATCAAACAGACTTATAAATTTTCATTTACAATGAAAATATGCATCAATAATTGGAAATTAATTTTCTTGAATAAATAATGCCCGAGTAGCATCAGGCCGCACTTAGCTATTGTATAGGATTGCTTATTTCTGACTAAACTATTTAGGCATTTAGACCAGCATTTGCTTTCTCATAATAACCAACATTGTAAAAACAATATGTGGATTCTTTGGTTTTTGATTTTAAGATCTTCACATGAACAGTTGAAAAATTGAACATTTGAGAATGGTAAAACATTTGTACTGTGAAATACAGCTGTACACATCACCCGATGATATGCATTTAATATTCGTGGGAATATTTTTGAAAAACTTAATATTTGTTTTAGGAATTGGAAACACTTCAAAGGGAAGGTTTGATTCGAAGTATTGGACTCTGTGATTTTTCTGAATACCAAATTGATAAAATTATGACAGGGACGTCTGTTGTACCGGCGATTCATCAGATGGAACACAGTAAAATAGAAGAACCTCATGTTCGATTTTGCAAATATAATAATATTGTTTTGGCCGCCTACATTCCTTTGAGACAAAAGTAAGATTTGAATAAAGTTAACTTAACAAGACAAACCACCAGTCTTGGTTATAAATATGGGAAATATTTAAAAAATATTTGTTGATGTTCTCCAAGTCTCCCTGTACTATATGCAGGGCTGCCATAACGTCCCTATTTCAAAGATTTGTCCTTATTTTGAAGGTTTGTCTTAGAAAAAATAATTTTTATTTATTTCTAAGAAACGTCCTTATTTTGACAAATGTCCTTGTTTTTGTTTCATTACTTAGATTGGTAAATCCGAATGATTGATTTGCTAAAAATTGTATTAGAACCTCATTGATTGCATGCGCATTCATGATGTAATAACAGCAAATTGATTGACACAATGACAAGACAATAGCCTACGAGCAAATTCCAGTTCATGTAACCTGAATTAAACTTCAACTTAGAAGTGAGATGGAACAGATTGTTCCTAGGAATAAAGAACTGCTGAAGCAAATCCTTTCTAGTGTTCATTACATTTCGTTCTTATATTATCTTATCACGTTTCCCCGACATCCTTATTTTCGGGTTCATATCGATGGCAGCCCTAACTATATGGCATTATAACATTAATGAATGTAGACAAAATTAAATAAATGAACAATTCAAGAATATAAGTTATAGGTCAGGGGTCGGCAAACTTTTGTCGTTCACGGGCCAAAATTAAAGGTCGCAAGTCATTGGCGGGCCGCACATATTTTTAGATAGTGAAAACCGAAGGAATGGCCAACAAATCACATTTTTTCACACAGATTTCAGTTAAATTTCAAGCAGTGCGCGAAGACTGATCATTTGAATATTTTCTGCGTCATTAAACCATTTGCACTCGCCATCAACTTTTTTACGTTCTGTTGCCATTTGTCTAATTCTAATCAAGTATAGGCTCATTAAACGAGTGGTTGTGAATAATATACTTGTTAGGTTATAATATAATTTAATGTCCCAAAACATATTCTGTCACGTAAAGAATATAATTGTCAATACAGCTGTTTGGTTAATATAATTCAGTTGAGGTGTCGCGGGCCGGATTATATTGCTCCGCAGGCCGGATTCGGCTCGCGGGCCGTATTTTGACGATTCGTGTTATAGGTATAAAACACTGCGTAGCTTCTAAGATGTTTACGTTTGACGTTCGGTAATTCTCGATAGAAGCAAAAATAGACATGACCCTTATAAGCATAAGTAACTGGGCCCAGCATGTTTGTGATTTCTGTAATCAAAAAGACCCTCATATTTAGTCATAGTTTAATTCGATTCATTTTTAACTTTAAATTTATCGGAATGTAACAACTGCAGATGAAAATACGACTCGTTGTTTTTATGATGAGCAACTGACAATTTCTCGTACAAATTCAGACCAAACTCCGTCGCAAAATTTATAGAAGGTGCGTTGAATATTCCTGGGTAGTCGAAGGGTTGTCAATTGATGATTGATTTCATAGATTAACTCAAGGTCACGATGTCACTTGAATGTCAAGATGTCAATCCATTTGTAATTTCACAAGCCAAGTTTATTTGCTGATAATTAAAAAATGAATGTTAAATTCATTACAGATAATTTATCCTATTTTTAATAAATATCGTGAAAATCGTGAATGCGTTTTGAGTGCTTGTGGAACTGAGCTATAGCTATATGGGTGCCAAGAAATCTGTCACTTAACAGTAAATATAAAATTTATGGTTAATTTCGAAATGTCGGATGCATTTTTCATTGCACATGCAAAGATCATTCAACTTTTGATTAATATTTAAAATCCAGCTGTAGCTAATTCATCTTATTTTAATTGAATATCGTCCAGAATGCTTTGATTGCCTGCGGGAACTGAGCTGTGTGGATGCTATGCAACCTGTCACGATAAATTGTTATGATACAAGCTTCATCGCCAAGTTCCACGAAACACTCTCCCACGCAGTATCCGCACTAAATGGTGTTTTTGCTGAGATTTTACCATTACGTCAAAGTGCACATTGCACAGAATAGACGAATCCTGCATTATTTTCTCAAGCATAAAATTAGTATATAAATATATGTCTAGGAATTGGAGCGATTTGCGAAAGAGCGGAGTGTTTACCAAGAGCAAACAATGGCCTTGTCTTGTTTAATTGAAACATTTGTGTCGAAATTTCGTGTTTTACCTTATGATTTTTATATACAGGACAGCAACAACAAAATCGCTATACAACGATCGATCATCTGTGAAGGAGATTGCGGTAAAGCATGGAAAAACAACAACACAAATTATAATGAGGTCATACATACAAAGAGGAGTTGTAGTAGTGATAGAAAGTATGAGAACCGCACAAATAAACTGTAAATTCAAGGTAATCATTCAATGCAAGTATCCCTCCTTCCATTCTCACCGTTCTCAATATTTTCCGAATTGTATAAGATCTTCTTTAACTTAAAGTTTTGTATATCATTTAGCTCTGCGAGTTAATTTAGCGAGTTTTTAGCAGAATACATTCTAGTGTAATCGTAATTAAGATATAAACTTGAAAATTCATCCAAAATTTTTATTTTACCTCAACTCTTGATACTTTAAATATGTTATTCTGGTTATTCGATTCAATTTCCCACCGCTGCTAAGTATACTGTATAAACGGCGCTCCGGAAGTATTCGTACCAAGATGACGCACAACCTGAACAACCGTAACCTGGTACAACATACTATGTTCAGGTTGTGCGCCATCTTGGTACGAATACTTCGGAAGCACCGTATAAACTACTGTAGTATGTGGAGATGAATTTTCGATAAAAAATTAACAGCTTCTCCACAGAAAAAGGTACCAAATTATTGGAATTATTTCTGTATTAATAAAAACAACATCAAACCGAATAATTCTGTTCGCAGATCTTTGATTTCGTGCTCGACAGTACCGACATGAAAATGCTGATGACGTCATCAGCAGGAACAAAAACGAGGCTGCGCAGCACGGGTGGTTGCAGCTATGCTCGCTTAATAGACATAATTGAAGACAAGTGAGCATTCATTTTTGTTTAAAACAGATACGAATTAGATCGAAAACCGAAGAAAGTAAAAAAAGATTTTTTGGAGGATTTATGAACGTTTTCATTCTATTTGTCAGGCCAAGTATGCACCACCACAGAAGATGGGATGTGGAGAGGATGTATTCCGAAGAAGAAAAATGAAAGTTGCACCTTTATGTATATATTCATAAATAAAATGATCTGACTCTCACCAAATCAATGTATACTTGAGATCCAGCATAAGGCATGTATCGGCGACTATTTCATCGCGTCTATTAAGTTGTATTAGAGCAGGGGTGGAGGAAATTTCCATGTAACGGTCCTGAATCTGAGATACTGTATAACAATGTAAGATTTATGCTAAAACAGTCGCCCAATTACGTCACTCGTGAAGAGCCGGATCTTTTCAATGGATAATTTTCTGTTATGTAACATATTCAATCCGCCGAAGCGACCACTTCAAGGGTCTTTATCATATTATTAAAATTGTTTTCATGGTTTCTCGAGTTTGGATCGAATTACGACAAAATAAAAGTATTACTAGTCCAAAATACTGCAGCACTCTGCGTTAAACTGAGTCGTATTATGACCGATCATAATAAGTTTGGATAATATTGACAGCCGGTTGTGATTATTTTTTCAAGATATCGCTGTTAGGAAAATCACTTAAGATCTACGATAAAATCTCAAAGTATAAAATTTATTTTAGTCTAGTTATTAACTACTCCAACAGACTTTAACATAATCAGGCCACAGCCAGGATTTTCAAAGGGGGTTCCAAAATACATATTAATCGCCTCGAAATCCTCACGGAACGGCTTTTGTAACAGTAGCAGCGATTACACCACTCGCTAAAAGAGCTAACTTTTATTCGGGTAATGATAAAACTAGAAGTACTTCCGGGCGTGTACTTCACGAGACCCTACTGGATCTTAAACAACAATAATAAAAGCAGCGTAAAAGTAAACAACAACAAACGAAGTAAAATCATGACAAGAGCATTCCACGCCGTGGCGTTCCAACTTCAGTTTGTGTGTGTGGCTAAATATGAATTTCTCCGGATACATCATATAAATTCTATTTTAATTAACAATGTATATAAATACGGTCGTATAAACATATTTACCATAACATTTGCCGGTGAAATACTAAATTTTACAAGATTTGAGGTTTTAATTCTACGTGGCTCAGCCATAGGAAAAGCATTTTTCTAGCGCCCCAGATTATGATTTTACAGAAGGCCACACAATCTTGCAACGTCTGTAGCGAAAACAATGAGGTTTTCTATCCGTTGTGAAGTCATCGATAATTGCACTACAACGGCTGTCTTAATATTATGGAAAACGAAGTTCGGCGGCAAACGCACAGTTCAACTTTTGAGTGAAGTAATTAGACTGGAGATAAAACGTCACAGATTATGTCGTCGACGACTCATTTAATTCTGAGACGGATTATTTGAAATTTCCTCCAGTCTCAGATGGGGCTACAACTGAGTTGAAGATCTTTATGAGGAAGACCAACTGAAATGCGCTTCAACTCTTTGAACTCTAGATGCCGGTATTCCGGTTTTCCCGATAACGTCTTCTGACCCTGAAAGCCAGATTTCCGGCTTTGGCATCCCGTGTGAGTTATGCCATTTTGAAACCCTATATCTCGCGAACCGTATATTATATTCAGACAAGTTTTATATTGTTTTAAAGACAATTCTAATATGGAGATAAAATGAAAAGCTTTTAAATAAAATAAAAAAAAACTTCTATTTGTTCTTGTTTTAACCTAATGCAATATCGACACATTTGTAGAGGTTAAACACAGCTTTCGAATGGTACCATTAGATAGAGTTTATGATGCACCAGTCAAGTTGTAAAAGCAATTTCATTCAATGTTCTCTAATTTGTTACATGTACGCTGCGCCAACTTGACGTAAACGACTTTCCTTAATTACTTTACCCAGCGAGGTTACGCAATTACGTTACTTATGAAAACACATATCGCTTTCCCACGCAAGCGTGTAACGTCGTAACTTAAACTGTGTATTATTTGAACTGGTACTGTTCACCCAATGCCTGTTCACCCATGCCGAACCTTTAATGGTGTCTACGTAAAAGCATTCATTGCGGGATTTGCAAAAAGCCTGCAGAAAACTTGCCTTGTGTAGAAATATTGAAAAGCATGTACTTTATATTGTAATGGCGTGGAAAAAATTCCGTTTTGAATTTGAACGAGACGAAAATGCGTATATTGAGATTCTCTAACGTATTTTCGCGTTGCTGTTGTTCTGTTAAAATAAATTCAAATACTGTCTAATGCAGGGGTCTCAAACTCGCGGCCCGCGGGAAAATTGCGGCCCGCAGGATGATAGTTTGTGGCCCCTGCCTTGGTATTAAAGTTTAATGTTAGTGCGGTCCGCAAGTCACTTAGCTCAGTTAGCATGATTATTGCTTTCAATATAACAGCGCTTCCCAAACTGTTTTCCGCTGAACACTAATGTTCCGCGAGCATCTTCCGAGTGTGGCGTGGAAAAGAAATGGCGATGGCGATCTGAGAATCATGAAGTTGTCGCCCAACTGATCGTTTAAAATCGCGTCACCGTCGGCCTAAAGTGGACTAACTAAGTTAGGGTAGTTGCATTTTTGGTAACCGTCGGTTTAGCTTTTTGGCTGTTAATTTCATTATCAAATTTACAGTACTTCTTTTGGTTTTGGTAACCATTGGGAACCATTCGAAACCATTGGGAACCCCTACATTGCATCGTTTTCTTTATCAATTTAACCCTTTCATTTTTTGGTGTTACGCCAGTTGATATAAAATGTGTAAGTGTTCCGTGGCCGAAAAAGGGAAACTCCGTAATATAAGATATAGTCACGTAGGACAAAACAAAATATTTTATCATTTATCCCCTGAAAGGAATATGCGGTGCGGTAACCTACCAGTACCAAACCTGTAGGCCTGATATTCGATCGCGGGACCGCCTGAAATAATTTAAAAACGTGTTCCATGATTTTGACGTCACAATCACTAACGCTTAGATTCATCTTGATACATTGTAACCATGTTTCCCATGTGGCAAAACATCACTGTCCGTCGGCTAAATGCTTTATTGAAACATCAGCGCAACAGTTATTACAAGATGGAATTTTATAATTTCTCACATCCCTAAACGTGTCCTTGGAAGTGAAGTTTCAGTAAACAGAAAGGTTGGTGATGAGCACAGACAATTTCAAAAAAATGGGAAATGCAATATTTCTTTGTTGAGCATAGGAGCATCCCGACATGTTTTATCTACACCGTTAAAATTGCAGTGCACAAGGAATACAATTTAAACGAGTTGCTAAGCTTTTATTGTGGAAAGCGGCCCCCAAGTAAATTTAGTTTGAGACCCCTGGTCTAATGTCTGCATATTTCAACATCATTCTATAGGGATTCATAGACGTGTGAGTGCACCAAGGTTGCTCATCAAAAAACGTGATTCTTGAATCAATGATTTCCTAAAATATGCCTAAATTTGTTTCCCAAAAAATTCTACAGAATATCAAATTTATTTATTACCGAGGGCAAAATTATAAACCTTTCTTGGTTCCCATCATTAAATTTTTTAATATGGTGACATCAAACAAAATACTTTTTCGCGATTATGCTCAAATATAACTAAATAACTTTTCGCTAAAATAATGAACTGGTTCGAGCAAAACTCAAGTTTACGGAAAGATAAAACAATTTTACTTTATTTTCCAAGAAGTTTGTTCAGGCGCACTCTACATCAATTTTGAAGGAAACAAATAAAACTTAAATTCGCACATTAAAGCGAAATTGCCAAACAAATTGCATAAATGTGATGAAAATAACATTTATTTTCTCTGAATTTAACTACAGTGAACTATTACTGTGTCCGTGTAAATTATCCGAAAAAAAGGTTCGTAACCTCAACAACTGAACTGTTGGTTAGTAAAGTATTTGTCTTTTTTGGTAAATTTTTTACAAAAATGTCGCACAGAAACGTTATTGTTTGAAATACGTTTATTTCTATGGAAAAGTGTAAAAACCTTCGTCAACTTTGTAGTTCTTTGAAAATCATGTAACCTCTGCTGTTGCTATATCAAAGTCATGTGGAAATTTCTTATCAGAATTCAACAGGCTTGAAAGTCTGGCAAGTTATTAAACTAAACCGTAGACCAGATAATTAGATTCGTTTCACTTGACACTGAAAAGCTTTCACAAAATGAAAAAAAAGATCAAACAAAACGTTGGCAATTAAATCCATACGATCTAATTGTTGTGACACAAAATATGCATCATTGAAGAAAGTAACTTTATTTTCTAACAAAGGTTTTAAATTTTCCTAGCATGTACTTTATATTGTAATGGTGCGGAAAAAAAAACCTTTTGAATTTGAAGGAGACGAAAATGCGTATATTGAGATTCTTTTACGAATTTTCGCGTTGCTGTTGTTCTGTTTGAAAATAAATTCACTGTCTGATGTCTACATATTTCAGCATCATCCTGGGGCTTTATAGAAGTGCGAGTGCACCAGGTTTGCTCATCAAATAACGTGATTCTTAAACATTATTGAGGACAAAATTATAAACATTTTTTGGTTCCCACCGTTATATTTTCAAACAAATCAATTATCAAACAAAATACTTTTTTGCGATTATGCTCAAATATAACTGAATGTTCAAATATAATATTGGTTGGTTCAAACAAAACAGCAAGTTGAAACATTTTAACTCTATTTTCCAAGAAGTGTGTTTAAAGCGCACTCTACATTAACTTTGGAGGAAACCAATAAAACTTAAATTCGCACATTAAAGCGAAATTGCCAAACAAATTGCATAAATGTGATGAAAATAACATTTTTCTTCTCTGAATTTAAATAGAGTGAACTATTGCTGTTTCTGTGTAAATTATCCGAAAAAAGGTTCCTGAACTGTTGGTTAGTAATGTATTTGTCTTTTTTAGTAAATTTTTTACAAAAATGCCGCACAGAAACGTTATTGTTGGAGTCATTTGAATTACGTTTGTTTCAATGGAAAAGAGTAAAAACCTCCGTCATATTAGTTGTTGTAAAAATACGTGGACGGAACGTAAATATCCAAAGTAGGGCGGACAAGATCAAATCTAACAACTATCTGAATTTGTAAAAAGCTTCACGCCGCCGAAAAGTTTGTCTTATATTTGTAAATTGTAATTCATATGTATATACCAGATTATGCAAACACTAAATTCATTGACAGGTTGAAATTCCCATCTAAGATGGTGATAAAAAGTATAACTAGATATCTTTTGCAGCTATTGTCGAAATATTTTCAGCAAAAAAATGAGTTTTTGAGAACGGGAACGCCTTTGACTTTTTTCAGCAAGAATTGTACGCATTAACTTTGAGCGGAAACCAATGAAACTAAAATTCAGATATTAAA